GAAGTTGAAATTTCAGTTTCATCTTGGTCTTTTTGATCCCCCCGAGCGCCGAAGACCAATGGATCTTTAGGAATTCAATCTTTTGCTTTATGGAATTGCCCCCAAAGACCGCAGGAAAGCTTGAATTCAGTCTTGCTCATTTTGGTCTTTGAAGGAACAATTTTTGATTGGCCTACACACCCCGAGATACTCCCGACGTCCTCCCGACACCGCCGCACCATCCCGTGGAGCTGCCCAAACACACACACCTTGGCCGCCGTAGACGACACCATGCATGGCGAACCAACTACAAACAGCAGCAGTGCCGCCAGACCACAGACGGTCAGACAAACGTCGCTGCACCGCACACCCGGTGCGCATTGCATGCTGCCGACATGGTGCAACTTTTGCTTCATCTTAAATGTTTTTTTTATTTTTCTTAATATGACACCACGAAACCATCTCCATCATAGAAAAGAGTTTATGCGTGGACAGAAGCATGCCGCTCTACATGCATGCTCATAATAATAAGTGACACATCAAACCGCGGCGTGAGGAGGGTGAGGCGGTGAGGCGGGCGGCATAGATCTCAGGAGTGCGGCACAGGTGGTGGAGGCGGAGGTGATGGAGATGGGGATGCTTCAAGCGGCGTGGGGGCGTGAGGAGCTGCAGCGCGTGCGTCCTGTGGACCGTGCTGTGGTGATTTGGTTGACAGGAAACTATCGACTCCGTCGACGACTGACTGCGATATGTATCACAACTTGTTCGCGTGCTGAAGGGGTACGTACACACATACATGCATACCTCCGCTTTTTGCGGCGCTACGCTTCCCATGCACTCCCGGTAACTGAACTGGGCCAACCGCCTGTTCATGAATTAGTACGTTGCTCCATCAGTATTCTCCATGACTGGGGGTGGGTGAGGGTGCAGTGATAGTGGAGTAGTAGTAGCCTTGTTGGGGTGAAAGCGGAAGCTCGGAAATATGTTTGGTGTTCCGAGTCGGCTCAACCATCTGTCTGCCGCCGCCGGCAAAGGGGCTCCGTCGTATTGAACGCAACGTTCTAGGAAATTTCCGCATGTTCAAGACTGAAATATTGCGCTCCGGTCTTCGCAAGCTATTTTTGAAACCAAAATTCAATCTTGGGCCGGAATTCCTTCAAACTTCCAAGACTGAAATGGGAGACCATTTCGCAAACACCCTATTGAAGGGGTCTCGAAACGATGCAGGTACACAATTAAGGCACCCGGGTTATCCGCGCCATCTCTGCCGCGTCTCTCTACAAAACCAGTGACGTCATCACACATACCTAACACCGATATTCAGGAAAAAACGGAAAATAATTGACAACACAAGAGATGTTTGTCCGTGCGACACGGTTCGATGCCGTCCGCATGCTCCGTCCGGTTCCGCTGCTGCTCCGGTGCCACTGCTCCGGTGCCGTTGCTCCGGTGCCGCTTCTCCGGTGTCGCTGTGGCCAGTCCTAGCACGACCAAACTCGACCCGCTCCGCTTCGTACACGCTCTCGTTGCTGTCCTTCCCAGTCGGTTCCTCGCTTTCTCCCTCGTTGCACTTAGGGTCCTTGGTCTGAAAATTCTCGCGCCGAAGGGTCAACCAGCCCAGTCAGCTCGTCACCACCTGTCCCCTCCTCATTTGATGGCAAAACCAGGTTACTGAGACAGTACAGCTCCCTCTAGCCAACCTAGGGCCGTGTACATAGTGCCCGTCCACCTTTCTGATGGCGTCTGCCTCCGCGCACAAAGATGAGATGGGCATTGCTGCCTACACCGACGGCCTCGAGGCCCGCGCATCTGCACCTTTGTACCTGACGCACCAGTGCCGACCCAACTCCACCACTACGCACGCCTCGCGGCGGGTGTGCTGTAGCAAGAAGGTATCGGTCCCTTGAGGGTGAGTCTAGCCCTGCTCGCTAGAAAGACCCCCCCCCCTCGCTTTGGGTCATGCCTAAGCAAAACCTTGCCTAGGCAGCGAGGGGAAGAAGGAAAAGGGTTTGCGCAGGAAGGAGTGCGTGATGTGGTGCTGACTGAAGAAAATATTCTAGTCGGAAAAGAAGGAGTGAGCATGGAGGAGCTGCGTAGGGTGCATTCGAGTGACAGTGTAGAAAAGGCAATTACGGCGTGGAACCTGCTGATCACGACTGTAACATACATACTATACATGCCTATCCTCACCCAGATCATCGCCGATGGTAGTCCAAGTGGAGGTTGGAAAATATTCCTCGACTATTACGAGCCGCGTGCCAGGGCCGAGAAAGAAAGGCTGTCATCTCAATATCACGCTCTTGAGACGAAAGTAGGAGAGACCCGCAAGAATACTTTGGGAGATTTGCTGTTTTGCGCAGTAGGCTAGCCTCGCACGGTGTTGTTTTCTCCGACGAAGATGCCAATGCCCACATGGTATACCACCTTTCCACCTTTCCGACGAGTACATGGTAGAGAAGAAGATTCTGACTATCTATGACACCGATTCCCCCCTCGCGCGAGACAATAAAAAAAGGCTGTGCGAGATGCTCATGCGGACTTGGTTCGCCGTCGGGAGGAGGAACCGAAGAATGGTGCGGGGCACGCGTTCGTCGCTTCCGGTGGCATCCGGGGCGATGGACGTGTTCAAAATGGGTCGAGTGGAAACGGCGGGGGTCAGGACGGAGACGGAGGCGCCCGGAGTCGGAGCAGGAGCAGGGGGAGAGGAAACAAGAAAGGAGGTGAGAGAGGAGCCGACAACGACCACTGCTACCTACATCCGCACTTGTTCCCACACCAACGCCCAGTGCTACACTCAGCGCGACCGTCAGAAGAAGCAGGAGCAGCAGCAGCCTCAGCAACAGCAGCATCAGCAACAGCAGCCTCAGTAACAGCAGCCTCAGCAACAGCAGCATCAGCAACAGCAGCCGCAGCAACAGCAGCCGCAGCAACAGCAACTTCACGGACCGCCGCCGCAGCAGCCGAGCTACATTGGGGGGGCCTGGGGAGGTGGGCCTCAGCACGGACCTCACAGCGGCTACGGAGGACAGCATCAGCACAGGTATTCAGCTCCCCCTCGTCCGCCACAACCGCCGTGGCGGCCTCCGTACGGACATGCAAATGTGATGCATGCGTATAGTGCTATGCCCTACGGGGGGCCCGCGTATGGTACCGAGTAGCAACAGCAGCAGCAACAGCAGCAGCAGCAGCAGCCTTCGCCAGACTACTACCAGCAGCAGCCGTACTACCCGCCTCCGACACCGTACTATCAGCAGCAGCAGCCAACACCGCAGCCTCCGCCACCGCCGTCGTTTCAGCCGCAGAAGCAGCAGCAGCAGCAGCAGCAGCAGCAGCAGCAGCACTCAACCCATGCCCTGCCCCGGTCGCCTTCTCCCGGAGCAGCAGCCTATCCGCCTCGGCATCTCCACTCCCTGATGGCACACTTTATGTCTGCTGACGAGATGAGTTCGCTTTCGGTTTCGAGTGATGTAGGCAGTGTCGCATGTGGTGGTGATCTTGGTTTTGCTTTGTCTGCACAGAGTTGCGAGTACAGTCCTGGTAGGGAGGTATTTTGGTCTGATAGCGGTGCAAGCAACCATTTTGTGAGTAACAGCTCTAAGATGTACAACATCTCGCCTGTACCCCCCAGCAAATAATTCATCAGAGTAGGCAATGGTGCTCATTTGCGCGTGGAGTGTGTGGGTAGTGTCAATCTGGCATTTCACATGGCAGGGGCCGATCGGGAGAAGTGGATTTCTGTGTCCAATTGACAGACGTGTACGTAGTACCAGGAATTTCGTTCAACTTGTTCTCTCTGCACCAAACGCAGAAAAAGCACAGGATAATGTTGGATGAGAGGGGTGTGCACCTTTTCGGCGGTCGGCTTAGTTTCGAATATTCGGATATCGGATTCTCTCTATCGGCCACCCGCTTGCCTCCCTCGTACCACGACGGTGATGTAATCCCCTCTACCGTTGTCCCTCCCCCCGTTGTCCGCCAAGCGTCTCCGCCTGGCGTTGGTACTGGCCTTTTTGCGCAAAACCCCCCTCCCGCTTCTCAGAGTTCAGGATCGGGTGCAGGGTGCGGTCCGAGTTCCAGCTTCCAGTCCACCGTTCCCGCCGGTGTTGTACCTTCGACTTCGAGCTTCCAGTCCACCGGTCCCGCCGGTGTTGTACCTTCGACTTCGAGCTTCCAGTCCACCGGTCAGGCCGGTGTTGTACCTTCGACTTGGAGCTTCCCGTCCATCGGTACTGCCGGTGATGTACCTTCGACTTCGAGCTTCCCGTCCATCGGTACTGCCGGTGTTGTACCTTCGGCTTCGAGCATCCCGTCCACCACTTGCGGTGAAGTACCTCCGAGTGATGCTTCCCCGTCTATCGATGTTGATTTAGTGTCTCCGTCGATCCGAGGTTTTCAGCCCGTCCTAGCCGCAGCCATCGCCTCATCCGAAGTCCTGTCCCCCTCAGTCGTGAACCCGAACGTGTCGCGAGAGACAGAGATCATGCCCCTTGAGTCCCAGGATAATTTGCCTTTGATGGGCATGAGTATGTCCTTGAATGTAGGCTTGATGAACGGGCAAGACTCGGTCCCACCGGGTGACTTTTATCCCGACCCATTAGGCGTGTGTGAGTCCGTGAAGCCCCCCGTTGCGTTCGCTCTGATGCAACATGAGTTGGACGTGCTCAGAGACTTCGTTGTCGAGTGCCGTGTGCAGCAAGATGTAGGTACCCCCTCCCTTTCCCATGCTTTGGCGATTATCGCCCCCGGTGGTCCAGCGTTCACTGTAGGAAAACCCACGTCCACCATCGACATTAATTTTTTCCACGCTTCACCGGCCACGTGAATGAATTTTTGATGAGGGAAACCGCCAAGCAGCAGGGTGTTCAATTGGTGGGGGAACTGCAGCCATGCGTCGGCTGCATCGAGGCGAAGGGCAGGAGGGCCCCGGTGCCGCGGCGTGGAGTCACCCGCGCGTCGGTACCGTTCGGCAAGGTGCACATCGACATCACCGGCCCGTACTCTTAGGCGTTCGACGGTTCCCGTTACCTGATCATGTTCGTGGACAGCGCGTCGCGGTGGCAACGGGCGTACGGCATGCGGGCCAAGAGCAACACCCTGACGTACACGCGGCGCTTCCTCGCCAGCCTGAACGGCAACGGCACTCTTGGGTGTTTCCGCATGGACAACGCTGGGGAGTTCACCAGTGCTTCCTTCGCCGCGTTCTGCGACGCCGCTGGCATCTGGCGCGAGTACACCGCGCCCGACACCCCGAAGCAGAATGCGGTCGTCGAAAGCGCCATCTGGCGCGCTATGAAGGGGGGCCACGCCGCCCACCGCCTCGTCCTCTCCATGGTCACGTCGACCTCGCCTCTATCCCCGGTATGGACGCGAACGGACACCGGCTGTGGCTTGCATCGGCGATCTGGGCCTCCGGCTGCTTCAACCGTTCCGTGACGTCGGCCAACCCGGCCTGGATGTCGCCGTTCGAGGCCTTCTTCGAACCGAAACCGCCGCTCAAGGTCGTCCCCTTTTTCCAGGAGGGGATGATGCGCGTGAAGCGCGCCACAAGGCGGACGGCCAATCCGTCCGTTGCTTCTACCTGCTCGGAGCGCGCAACCACTCCGCCGCCACTGCCGTCGTTCTCCGCGCCGACACCGGAAGGATCTGCCTGTCCAACAACGTCGTGTGGATCAACCGCCGCACCGCCGTGCCGGCGCCGGTACCGGCGAGCGGGGGGGGTTCTTCGGTCACCGCGGCGCCCTCGCCGGCCGCCGCCGTTCCTGCAGCCGCTGCCGCACCGCCACCGCCATGGACATCGCGGACGTACACCTACACCCCGCCCACAACGACCACCGCTTCGCCGCTGCCTGCTTCTCCGTCGATCTTCACAGGGTCCGGAGCCCCGTCACCGATCTCCACGGCGTCGTCGAGTGCACCGCCGTCCACCGCAGCCACGCCGCCCCGTCCACCGCCGACACCACCCCCGCACCCGCTCCCCCATCACCCGCCGCTTTCACAGCGAGCCGTCAAAGAGTTGGGCGAGAAGGAAACAGGGTACATGGCCGTACGCGCGGCGACCGAGTGTGCTTCATGGATGAGCAACAGCAACCGCCGTCGCCGTCAGGTGGCGGCACCGCTCTCCAACACCGCATGGGGCTGCTGTCGATGATGGGCAAGGATGCGCTCGTCTCGTCGCTCGCCACCCGGGAGGCCGTCGATCAAGGGCGTCGAGACCTGCCACCGTCCGCCAACATCGCCCCTCCCGCTCCCCCACCGCCGCAAGATACGAGTTTAGCAGGCCATGGGAGCGGGGGGGCCGCAGGAGCTGGAGGGCCGGGGGGGCTGCACATGTTCGCAGCAATGTTCGCCACCCGCGAGGATGTGGAAGCCACTCTTCGTGCCAAGCGCCCTCCTGACAAGACGCCGGACCTTCCTCACTGCCTCGCCGGCGACCTCCGAGTGCCGAAAACCGTTCAAGGAGGCCATGCGGTCTCAACATTCAGAGTTGTGGGATGATGCAGTCGGTCGGGAGTTTTTCGGTCTATTGGATGCAGGTACTTTTAGTCTGGTGTAGCAACCAGTAGAAACCTTCATCAACGCCAAGTGGGTATTCAACTGTAAGGCAGACGAGTACGGATGGCTGACGAAATTCAAGGCAAGACTTGTAGCGCGGGGGGACATGCAGAGGGCTTCGACTGATTTTGGAGAATTGTTTGCACCCACCGTATCCGTGTCTGGGTAGCACAGAGAACAACTGAAGAGTCGACGCTTGTAGGATTAGGCCAAACGATGTCGTTGGTGTACGGACTATTCTTTGCGCACAAAGCGAAAGATATATGGGTGGTTGTGATTCATATTGAGAGGCGCTAACGCCTTCCAAGTTCGTTGACGAACGTGGGACGCCTCGCGGGTGGCGTGAAACCTACCTACCTATGCCTGTGACCAGGGCGTTTATTTTGTTTTCTTTCGAATTGCTTCATTATTTCTTCGGTTTCTAGGCTACGTGTTGGGGAGAGAGACGCACGAAACGCTCATCGTCTCTCCGGCCGCGTTAGCTGCAAAGGCCGGCGTCAACTCTTACAAATCCATCTCTCTCCCCACAAATACTAGCCGGGGGACTACGACTGCAAACGCAGGAGTCCCAAAACTGACCAAGTCCTCAAATGGTACACACCATTCTACAACACCTGACTAGATACCGAATATTCCCGAACTTATGCCCCCACCTTCGAAAGAAAAGGGATGGGAGGGCGGGATTTTCTAAAACTGCCGCCGCTACTGCGTTAGGCGGCTGCTGCTGTCCTTCCGTTGCTTCACGCGCTCATGTAGCTGTCACACGTTACCCGACTTTGCTACAGCCCCTGCGTGGACTCGATCACGGAATGACACCCCCAACTATAGACTAATAATTCCAAACACCGTGACCCTGGGTTTCCGGTAGAAAATGAAGCCAAATTCTAATTCGACTGTTACAAAATAAACACCAGTTTATTCTATCTGCTTCGACGAACAAACCTTCCTTTTATTTTGTTTTCTTTCGAATTGCTTCATTAATTTCTTCCGGTTTCTAGGCTACGTGTTGGGGAGAGAGACGCACGAAACGCTCATCGTCTCTCCGGCCGCGTTAGCTGCAAAGGCCGGCGTCAACTCTTACAAATCCATCTCTCTCCCCACAAATACTAGCCGGGGGACTACGACTGCAAACGCAGGAGTCCCAAAACTGACCAAGTCCTCAAATGGTACACACCATTCTACAACACCCACATCGAGGTCAGTTTCTGGACGACTACCGAATAAGTCAACTATCCGTTCCCCCAGACGGTCCCCTCCCCCGGCTGTCTCGATACGATCCTACTGCCGTCTGTAAGTTTCCGTGACACTCGCCGCGAATCCTCTACATTGTTTCGCGCGTACGGCTTGTATGCATCCGACCTCCACTTCCCTTCTCTCTGAATCACTCGTTCTGCGATGTCTCCGCCCGATGCAAGAGCCGTCGCGCCTCCAATTCGCAACGAGTGCAACGCGTACTCCTGGGGGTTACGCCCCGACCTCGCTACCACTTCTCTGAGTGCACGGAGGGCAGCAGTATACCTCACTACTCTCACTGCTCTTCCACTACGGTACGAAGCCAACGGTGCGGAGTCAGGGAACGTCGCCATGACACGATAACAGCTCCACCACAAGAGCCACCGCGCCACCGCGTGCTCTCACACCTGACTGCGGTCCGGTGACTTCGTCTCGCGTACGAACCTCGTATGTTTCCTTTCTGCTCTTGATCGGCCTTGTGCCCTCTAAACCTCATTTCGACACGGTCTGCTCTACGATAGTGACTAAAGACTAATTGCGTCTCGCCAGCAAACAATGCTACGTCCGCCCTCGTAAGACAGTGTGCCTCATGCACCCTGCCCGCATCATTCGCGAACACCTCATCAGACCGTGTGATAAAGAGATAGGACAAGCACAGACACAGCCACATCACTCTGCCCCCTTCCCCCCAGTTCTGGCTTGCGCTTTCCCCGTCCAGCAGCATACGCCAAGACACAGGCAGGCGCACACGGCGTACCGTCCCCACAGCCACGTGGTTCCTCGCAATCCCCCTTAGCGCACATTTCAACATCGGAGACGACAAGTCTAGCTCGACAGAAGCTTCCAGCCTATGAAAATGTTGTACAGCCGTGAGTTTTCCGGATATTGTACTCGCTAGATTACCCTCAGACTCGAAACACCAGGCTACGAAGTCTATCAACTCCCACACATGAAGGTCCCCGGCACGTTGCCCTAGGAACTTGGGCTTCTCCGTCAGCCTGCGAAACGTGCACCAAGAGTTGAAGCCTGACGTGTAAGTCCTTCTAGCTCTTTCTTTTTGCCGTTGAATTTTTTCTTCAGAGAGAGTACGTCTGGTTGGGACGAACCGCATTTTTTTTCTTCAGCGAGAGTACGTCTCGGTTGGGATGAACCGCATCCCATGTTTGGGAAGGGACCTATCTGAGCGGCGCGGCGAGCGAGACTGCGTTGGCTTGCCGCCGCTTATCTTACTGCACCCTCCCCCCTCGTGCTAAATGCACGCAGCGGTGAGGTCACAAGAGTAGCGGGACGCGAATAGGAACACGGCCGACACGATGGATGTTGGACACGAGTACACACCTTTATATGGAGAGTCGCGTGCTGGTCACTTCCCCAATGCTTGCGCCGTGTCCCGTCCCGCCCTTTTCTAAACTGCCGCCGCTACTGCGTTAGGCGGCTGCTGCTGTCCTTCCGTTGCTTCACGCGCTCTGTAGCTGTCACACGTTACCCGACTTTGCTACAGCCCCTGCGTGGACTCGATCACGGAATGACACCCCCAACTATAGACTAATAATTCCAAACACCGTGACCCTGGGTTTCCGGTAGAAAATGAAGCCAAATTCTAATTCGACTGTTACAAAATAAACACCAGTTTATTCTATCTGCTTCGACGAACAAACCTTCCTATTGTTTTGTGGCAAAGTCCCTTCCCTATTTTTGGTCGGCATCGAGGCTCGAACCCGCGAAACTTCAAATCACAGACGCACGGTGTACCCCCGGGTCCACCGGGCGGGGCAGCAACTACGTACAACACTCGCCTCCCACGAGCGTTTGGCTGAATCAAGAATAACGTTTAGGTCGAAAGTTGAAAATTGATTATTGTGTGAATCCGGGGACACAACGAATGATCCCCGGGAGGGGAAGAAATAATGAACAATAATCATCATCCCCAAACATGAAAGTTAAGCTGTGCGGTCACAGAGAGAGACGGTTTTCACGAACAAAAAAGATGACTCGGAACATTTTAGAACCATAACGCCCGTGATGAAAATTGGGGCGTTCTACATTAACATTTGCGGCAGGGGAGCGTTCTAGTCTGTATCGAAGATAAAATAATTTGCAACGAGAGAGGTGCAGGCCAAGAAACATTCATCTCCACGATCGCATGCCGAATCTAGACACCGCTTGTGGCTTCCAAAAACCCTTCCAAAGTCATGTTCGGTGGAGCAGTCATATCACCGATGGCGCCAGAGCGAGGCGCTATTCTAACGTTTTGTTACACCTCATCGACTTCCTTTCGCAGTTTGAGTGCCGGGAATATCTCGCGGGTACGCTGTGACGACCCTCTACCCTGTATAAGGCCCAAGCCAAGTACCACTGACGGGACTAGGCTACTTTCGGCTCTCTGACCTCAGATCGAACACCTTCATCCGCGAACCGCAACCCTCTCTCAAGAGACTTGCGGCCGATACAAGAAACGCAAGGCAAATCACATCATCATAATCAGTATTCGAACCGAGGAAAGCTACTTACTTTTAGTCTACTCGTACAAATAGTATACCAAATCTAGGACCTATGACCGTTTCCCTCCAGCAGGACGCGGAAGCTGAGACGGGGCCGTTTTCTTGGTGCCCTTCGCCTCCTTCTTGAGTCTAGCCAGTTCCTTCTTGAGATCCCTGTCCGCACAGAAGAACAATCAGGCGGCGAAAGAGTCGATAAGAATGTACGTGACATACACGACTGTTCATTCAGTGCATCGTGCCGAATCCATTTTGAAAATATAATGGTTCGTGGATAGTTTCACGGTTGCAGGAGGATCGTAAAACACAAGGAGAATGCACGAGTTGTGTTTAGTCTCGAGAAAATCAAGAAACGAACCGTCGACGGTTTGAGATATCCATGGGTCACATGTGGTCAGCGTTTGGGAAACGTGGAATTCACTGGCGGATTGGCCGTCGGTCCTTGCTCAATACCGCTTCCCTCGCGAGCTCAGACACGCACAAACAAGGCGGGATGTGTCAGCACTCACTTGAGCTGCGCAGCACCATCTTCGCCCGAGTTTTCGCAGGCCTTCCCGAAGCTGAGGGTTTTCTCAGTCTTGTCCGCGTGGTTATCAGCTGGACTTACGCACAAGATTGTCACAACCTGTTGACCGAAGCAATCCGGTAGCCACCGAGGGAGAATTCATGATGATCTTGGCAGATATGTCCCGACAATATTTACGTGGCTAACTGAGACTACGGTGCATGCACCAATGTTCATTCCGAACTGAGTTTCCCGTCACCAGAATACTTGCTGAGCCTCCGAGTACCACGTGGTTTGCACGTGCCGATGCCGATGTGCCCTATAAAGTGGTTTATCCTGAACAATGATCTTCTCTGAGGAGAATGTGCAGAAGCAATGCGAGGAGCGGGTTCATACCATGAATATATACACTCACCTTGGCCGTGTCCGCGAGGCAACTCCTGACCATCCCTGGGAGCCCGTCCGCTCTGTCCGCCTTGTTGGTATTCACAATGGTCGCAGCAGCGTGAGCGCGCACGGTGTCTGCCAGGGCCGCCGGCCAAGCCTCTCCTGGCATCTCCTCCGCAAGCTCCACGATAACCATCTCACATGAGGAGGCTTCACTTGTGCTTCTGTTCACAAGCTCCACTCGGATTCTAGACAAGAAATGTCTGTCTTTCCGCTCCTCTTGGGAATTTCCGGATCCCTCCGCCTCCGGTGACGACATCGCCCGAGACCTAGCGTCCATGACGATCCTCATCACCTCTTGTGGTGAAGATGCCGCAACCGCGCGTCCCCATCGATTTTCCCCTTCCGTAGGGGCGGGGGATGTAACGTCTGGCTCCTCTTCGTTCTTCTTCTTATCAGAGATGTCACCTTCACGTACCACCGAGGAGGAATCGCCGCACACAGGCGGTGAATCCACCGGAGGTAGGAGATTCTCTACCACACCGCTACTGTCAGTAGCTACCTGTGGTGCCACAGGTATTGAAACCGCGACGACGCTGACCCAAACAACAAAAGCGCACTGCGCGACGCGATGCTTCAGCGTCGCGAACGTTTCTGCCACCAGTCGCGGGAACACTCCGGCCAAGGGTGTCACCTTGACAGCAACCCCCCCCCCACCATCGCCTAACGCCTCCTCGCCCCCGCGCTCGCCCCCTCCGCCGCCGCTACCGGCCTTCCCCTTACCCCTTTTCGGAACTTTCTTGGATTCGCCTTGATTCGCCGTTGCTGCAGGCGTCGCCGTCCCTTTGCCATCCTCGCCCGACATGTCCGCAATGAAGAAACCGTCACCCCCTGCGGCTGCCGCTGTCTGGTCAGGTTCTCCTACAAGCGCCAGCGTCTTTCCCGACCGGGAAGCGCCTACGGCCATGAGAAGGACGTTGTGACCGTCCGCGAGCGTTGTCCCCAGCCCCGCAACTTCCTTGTGCAGCTCTGCCTGCGCCGCTGCAGTCGCCGCTACCTCGGCCGACGCATTTTGGAAGACGTGCGTAAACGTCCAATGTTGCTGTGCCGTCGTGAGGAGGGCCAGTGTCTGCTTACCATCTCGCAGGCACACCTGATTTGTTTGGGACAGCGCAAGAATAACCGAAGAGGACCGCGGTCATTCCAAGGTAGTCAGCACAGCAGGGCGGGAGAGCCCGATAAAGTGATCGGCATGGGCCCGGAAGGAATATCGAGATCGATGGGTTCGAGGAAATCGCGTTGGGCTGCAGGTTTCGCGAAAGGCGTTCCAGAAAAGTCGGTTTGTCTTGTTCTTCGCCCTATCTTCATGGTCGTAGCGTGTATATCGCGCTCACTGACAGTTTCTGTGACTACGCACCTCCTTGCATCCAGCCTCCTTCTCAAGAGCGTCCATTGGGCGCACTCGTGCATACATTCGTGTCTGGCCCTTCATATCTTCGATCTGGTTATGAAGCTGGAGAGGACAGCAGCCAACGGGAACATAAAGGTGTTGAGGCGCATGAACAAAGTCCACGCGTATCTCAACCTAGACTGAACACTCCTAATCGGACGTGCGGCAGGCCATCTAGTAGGGCTTTCGTGCCTTAAAAAAAACACTGGTCTAACAATGGTGGGAGTTGAATCCCTCCATCGACGGAGCATACCAAGTATGTGTTCCTCACGGTCACCCTCTCGGACGCCACGCAAGATCATATGTCAATCAGCTTTGACATATCGACAGAAAATTCTTAATCGATTTCAAGATTTAACTGGAGCTGCTGGGGTGTCCAAAAACTATTGTTTCAGTGCATAGTCCACATTCGTACCCACCGGAAGGTAGCGACCACAAGTTCGTCCAGGAAGCCAGCCCCAGGGCACCATGGACTAAATTCATATAGGGGGACTATGTGAGGGCCTATAAAACGGTGCCTAACTCGCCTGCTTGGCACGCTCCATTTCTCTTCGGAGGCTCGTGTGCAACTGCTTGTTTGTCTGGTCGATTTGCTTCGAGCCGGCATGCTCTTCTGCATGTTGTTTCATCCACGCTCGAGCTTCATCCACTTTCCCGGCTCCCTGCACGTTCATTTTCCCATTGGTCCTTGTGGTCGTTAGACACGGTCAGAAAACGGGCCGCCGCTCGTGATTGCTAGCGCAAAGGCACGGCCTCTTGTACCCCTCCTCGTATTTCGATCAAGAACTACAGTGCATACGAAAATGAGCAGCCCGGGGGCGTGACGGCACTCCTACTGCCGTTGGTCTAATCGATACCGAGCAACGGTGCGAAACAACCCAGCATGATCCGCCTGGGAGTCACACTTGCCTGCTTGGCCGCATCAGTCGCGTTCTTCGTTGTCGCAGCGGTCTCGGATAGTACTTGTGCAGCGCTCTCGACGGTTTCCTTGAGAAGGGCAGTTTCCCGGTCGACCTTGCCGATCAGACCGGTGGCGAATATCCGTGTGGGCAGGAAATCACGGGTGTTGAATGCAGGCGGTTACGTCCAGTTGTTGCAAATCAAAAAGGTGAATCCTGCCGCACCGAAATGGGGGTCTCTCGGCATCGTCCTCCGTTAAAATTAGTCTACTTCGTACTTTCTCTTCCGACATCTAAGGTCGACTCTGGAAGGGGAAGCAAGCAACAACAAACAACCCAAAGGAAAGTGATAACTGGCCAAAACGCAGCACCTTTTCGGTCAGGTCTCCCTCCAGTTCGACGCGCTCGGTGTCCCAAGCCTGCTCGGCCTTGCCCAGAGAGTCTGCAGCATCTGTTCGGATTTTCTCCACCTCCGCCACGTTGTCTGACCTCAACCGTTCGAGCCTGACGCGCCGGTCTTCCTCCTGCGCTTGCTGCTTTGCCGCACGCTGTTGGATCAGCGCCACGCAGGGTACAGCACGGCGGGGGCCGGCGAGTTAGGTGGTCGCAAGCAACGGAAACCAATCATTTACTCATTTGGGAGACCTGATGAGAAACGGGTGAAATTGCCGGTTGAATGGGGTCAAATAGAGGAGTCTCACCGGTCGTCTTGCTTCTACAGGCCCTACTGACCGGGTCTCGCACACTTTCTACAGTTTTTGCTAAAACGCCCATGGGACACCCATGCTTGACCCATGGGCATGCCCATGGGTAACCCGTGTGCAACCCATGGGCAGCCAGTGAGAGCCCTTCAACCGGAACCAGTGTGCCCCTAAACAATAGATTGTCTGCTTGGGAACAAGCATTAGAGATATCCCTAACGCTAACCCTGACCCTAACCCCAAGCCCACACGATACGAGCTAGGTTGACGCTGGTGGTTAAGTTGTAGGTTGATATGCCCGTGGCGAAGTTCTAGGTTGAAGTGCCCACGGTGGGCGCTTCATGGGCACTTCATGGGCCACCCATGTGCATGCCCATGGGCGGCCCATGGATGACCCGTGGGTGTCCAATGGGTGGTTTAGCAAAACCGTCAGTAGTGTGGGAGAGTGTGCTAACCCCGCGGCACTCTTTGGATACGAAATAGGGAACTTTGCAAGCTTCTGAAAGCATTCCTGTTCGTGTTATCGTTCGCATCAACACAAGCAAAACAAACGTTTCCAACGCCTGGCTGGGTCTCACGATCCAGTAGATCCGAAACACGTTAATGAGAGTTGCATGGATGGAACGTTGATGACCGTGGCCTCACTCAACCATGTATCACATGTGTTCGTTACTTTCCGTCACGTCTGAAACTTCTCGGCATGAAGTGAGACCTGCAAGGAGGGACATACTTACCTCCTCGACCGATCCCTTGGTAGCCTCGAGGGTTTCCGTGATATGGCTCAACCGCACGTTCTCGGCGGCTACGCCTGCCTTGAGCTTGGTAATCTCTTCCGAGAGCGAGTCACTCGCGGCCTGCCCCGAGCTATCGTCTGCCAACGCCGATCGGAGCTTTGCTACCCCACTCAATGCTTCTTCCGCCTGCGGTGTGAGCGAAAGAAAAAAAAAATGTCATTTTTGATGCGAAGTTTCCACCTGACAGCCTCGTCTCGAAACATGTCCCCCGAAACATCTGCACCAACGAATCAACGTTGTCCTGGTTCTCACTTCTTCTTTCGTCTTGGACATAGTAGCCTCTCGCTTCCGGAAATCTTCCTCTAAGTTTCGAAGAGTCTTGCGCTGCTCGTTCAGGGCGCTTGCTTGGCGTTGCCGTTCCTCGGCCAGTTCATTTTCTTGCCGTGACACTGCCTCCTGCTCACACATGAAGGGGTAGGACAAGTGTGAAGGAGAGCGGGCAACGGAAATGGGAACACTACCTTATTGTTCTCTCAGGCTTTATCCAATCAAGTACATTGATCTCTGGCAAAGCAGATCAATACCTGTTCGAAACACAATCATAACCCGTAGCAAAACCGGTTCCACCGGCAAGCGCTCGCCATGAGATTGCCAAGGCGCGGGTCTAATCTTGAACCACAAAGCTGGCCGTGGAGGCGAAAACTGTTGTTCACTAGGCTATCGTAGTTCGACACACAATACGCATGGACATAGCCAGGCCGATTTGGCGGCGGCGCATGTATGCTGCTATACGTGGACCCTCTTGGTCTTGTATGGAGTTGTGAGTTGTCTCACGTTGACGCAAATATTGAGAGTGCCGTCCAAAGTTGCTGCAAAGCTTGAGAGTGCCGTCCAAAATTGAGGATTTCTTTGCAGGAAGTCTGGTATAGATATTTTCCGACCCTTCGTTGTCTTTTTGCGCAACAGAACCTACTCGGGGAATCAATAGAGCCCAACAACCACCCCCACCGACCTGAAACACTTTGTCCGCCTCGGCACGTAGTACCGCGGGTGAATCGACGCGCTTCAGGTTGTGCTGGGAAGACGCTCCTCGATGGAGGGACCTGTTGTTGCTGCTGCTGCCGTTGTTGTTGGTGGTGGTGGCGGTGGTGGTGTTCTTATCGCGCCCACCTTGCTGCCCCACTGCTGCTATCCCATCGATGCTTGTGCTGCTGTGTCTTCTGATGGTAAGGGCCGCAGGTACGAGCTCGGCAGTTTCCCCACTGCTTCGATGCTCCTCGGCTTCTTGGCTAGGCTGGACATGAGCGCCATCCTCGGTGGCGGGGGTCTTCTGGTTTTGGAAGACCCAGGTAAGCAAACCAATTAGAAAGACTTGAGAATGGCCAGGTATGTGACTATCGACAAATACCACCAACGTAGAAGAACTGGTTCACCGCACTGGAAAATGGCGAAGAGAATAGCGTCCGTATCTCTATGGGAGCACGCATGGCGTTCTCCGAATCTCCGAAACAATGTCTTTCTTCACGATGGCTATGACAGGTGACGGGAGCTCCACCACAGGTATCTGATAATCTCCCTTCTGATTCCGCCGTACGTTATGTCGAAAACTTCAGCCGGACTGGTCAATCTAGGCCCGAGGCTCTGTAGCAAGCGAACAGTGAAACGGAGAAGGGAACCCACCTGCTCGCCGTCGGTTTTCGGCGTGGACCGTTCCGCCCCGGTTTTGCACAGTTCGTCTTCAGAGGGAATGAGCGAAGAAACCCCAAGAGGTTCCAGTTTTGGGGATGACGCCTCCCCGAGGAAATCCATTTTCTTGATTCCGTAGCGTATCATGAGCGCTTGTAGCATTTCTTTGAAGTCCGCCTGTAGGCGCGATTTGTAGGAGCCGACAGCGAGGAGATCGGATGCCAACGAAGATTGTCGCGCGCATATCGTACCGATTGAAACACAAAGCCTGCTATTGTTCGGTGACGCGCTTGAGAAACTACATCAATCGACAATTTCAGGTTCAAAATGAAGGGATGTACCGCAAGAGAGATGTTCTGTGTGACCCTTGGGTCGAGGCCCTCCTGTAAGACCTGCACGGTGATGGGGTTCGCTATGTCGAAGACTGCGAGGTTGGACGATTGCGAGCGGCGATTAAAGAAGGAGGCGACGAGGACAGCGAAACACTGTGCACAGCGTGCTAGGCTCCCCGTCTGTGTAGCTCACGATCTTGGTCTGCTGCCGGAAAACCCCGCCAAGGCGAGGTCGAAATCAATCGGTTTTCCTCTTTGAACAACCTAATCCGAGGTGATTACCAACCGCTACACACCACTGGTGTTTTGCTGAGGGTGGTTGATCATTCGTGAATCTTCCTCGTCTTCGTGATTTTTCTTCATCTTCCCACCCTAATAGCAATGACAAATGAATGCGAACCCTCCCGCAAGGGTTGAGCTCTATAGGTTCGGGTTTAGTTCGGAACAGCCCCCCCCGCTCCCGCCCGGCGAGACCGGCGACGCACCTTAGGAGTTCACAGCGTTTCGTGAAGTGTCAACAGCATTGCCAAAAACGCTTCGGAAGGCCCACAGCGACACCTACACGATTCCTGGGTTATCTACAATCGGGGATGAGGAATGACGAATTCACCAGCGTTGTGGCACACAGACAAGGACAAGGCGACAGAAAATACAGACGAGGACTGCTCGCCCATTTCGGTCTTAATACGCCATGTTCCGACTGGAAAAGCAAACAACACGTGAGCTCTGTTGAGACAGCGTAACCCCTCAGCATGCGTGCACCGGTCACGACCACCGGGTGGGGCTGAACTAGACGTGCTGCAGGACGGAAGCTGTTTCGCACCTTTCCTATTTGCATGGCCAGGTCCACCTCCATCAGCTTCAGTGGGTCCGCTCGGCTGAAGATGGCAACCAGCCACGACCGCACCTGCTCCTGCACTAGCCATTCCCGGACCCCTAGGGGCGGGAGTGTGATGGATGCAGACACAGCCCCGGTTTTACTGCCGTTGACACTGCCAGCAGTGGCGGGAACAGTCGCCAGAAACTCTTTGGCGACTGCCTGCAGGTCAGTTTCCCACCATGATTCACCTAAAGAGAACAGGACAGAAAGCATTAAATCGTGCGAGCCACAGCGCGGACGGCGAGATCTGGTTAATCGCCATGTTTTCGATGTTCACGACCGGGGAACTTCATTGGCGCTAATGAACGATTGCTATGCCGAAGAACCACTCACCCGTCTCGTCGTTCATGTAGTACGCGAGCTCCGTCTGCGGATCAATGTGGCGGATCCAGAGGCCGCCGGTCGGCCCCGACGCCTCCCCTTCATCTCCCGTATCCATTCCCGTGTAGGCTTCCTCGACCTCTTCCCATCCCTCTCCCTCCTCTTCACCGCCGAACAGCTCGACTACATGTTCGTGCCCCGCGTCCTTGGCGTATTTCACAGCTGTGTAGTTGTAGTAGTCTTGGGTCTGGGGGACGTGCAAATATGAAATGCGGGCACAAGGGGTTATGGAGGTGGCGTTAGAGTTTTGGAACAGAGACAGAATGATTTTCATGTTTTCCGGTCACGACGTTGTCAATGCATTATGTCCCCATCACTCGATCCACAATCGATTTCTGCTGAGCACTGCATTGCTTGCCTTTGGCTGCGCCCCGTGCTCTACCAACAAAGCGCATATCTCGGCGTCGCCAGAACTTGCAGCATAGTGTAGCGGGGTACAACCGTACGTAGTCTCGGCAGTGGATGTTTCAGCGCCCCTCCACAACAACGCTTCGGCTGCGTCGTAGGACAGCGAGTCAGCGAAGCAGGTGTAGTGAAGAGCGCAAATACCGACCGCGTTCACTGCCGTAGGATTCGCACCCTTCGCGAGAATAGGCTCCACGAGATCCTGCCGGGTGGGGTGGAGAGCGGAGGATCCACCAGGCGAGTGCGCATGAAACTTCATTCCACTGACGATCAAAAGCGTATCTCAATGTTGTTCTAGTGCACGACTCCTAGAGGTAGCGTAAACCGTGATATGTTCCCTCAAATAAGTTACGCCAGCGGGAGGCAGCCGACCATTTCCTGGGCTAATCTGTCCTGAAAGCATTCCTCACGCACGGTTGGCCCAAACTTCCCCGATGCCGGTATCGTTATCTAACACGCGTGCATGAGGTAGAAACTCTTTGCTGCTGCGCATGTACCCAGGCGTCGTAGCCAGAACAACAAAGTTGAGCACATATTCTGCTGAGAAACCCAGCGGAAAACACAGAACCCCTACTCCAACCTTTCAATCCTTAATCATTACGAAAAACCTACGTGGTTTCGTACAGTCCGCAGGACAAGAACCAACGCTTAACAGTAGCGGAAACCACACTCAAGAACACTCGAACAGAGCGTCGTTTCGGATCGGGGTGGGGTTTAGTAGTCGGTAAGTTTCAACGAGCCGCACCTCGCACCCGTGTTGACAGGCGAGAATGAGCAAGGTATCCCCAGCCTCGTTGCGAACATCTATTGCGTCGGGACGTACACTTGCAAGAGTGGCTTTGACCATTTGGTCCATCGGCCCATCATCTCCCCCATAGAAGGGTACAAGGCCGAACAACGTTCGCATAGTCTCGTCTTTGATGTAGTGCCTGCATCGCGTTGGAACACAAGCACCAAAGTGAGATGTACCGTCCGGTAGGTCAGGTTGGTAAACTTCATCTCGTCTCGCTTGGCAGCATCATCGGCGGGGGGGACGTGCCCGTATCCTTAAACATAGTGTCTTGTGGTAGTTATTGCCCCTACCTTGAAGCATTCGCGAGGAAGAACGTATCGGAACATATTTCTCGTAGCCCGGGAAAAAGTGTCGAGGAGTCACATGAGGACGTTGGCGCTCATTCGTTACTGCGGGATGAGTGGAAAAGCCGTTTCGAACGCTTAAGAAACGCTACCTCTGTTCACACAGTACCTATTTGCAGGTCTTTTTCGCTTCGGCTTGCCAGCCTTCTGCACGGTTGGAACATTGTTCCCGTCGGCCGGTTTTGCTTCATTGGTATCCTCTCGATCGTCATCGACAATGACACGCACGACAACACCGCCACCGCCATCATTTCCATCACCTCCATCCATCGACTGTTCGTCGATGCCACCGCCCACTTTGTCCTGTCAATATGCGGAACGCGCACGTACGCGCAACGTGAATGATTAGCGTATCAATAGCCGTTCGATGCCTGGAACAACAAGAGACGCGTATGAGATGACAACAGAGGGCTCGTTTCAGTAATGGGAGCTGGGGGTCTGGGGATAGACAACGCGTGTATGTGTGTGTTTGTTTGCTAGTCATGCCTCTCAGTCGTGAACAGCATGGTGGGGGCGTCGTGATCTCTCCGTTGTCCACAAGTACCAAGCTCCCATTCGTTTTTTCATGCCTGCGACACGAGATCACCGTTACGTGGTGATGTTCCGTTTAACAGCCCCTTATACTAACGCACGCCGGTATTCACGGTGCAGCCACCACCTACCGGAGTGCCAACTCTGCCGGGAAAAGGGCGAGTAAAGGGCAATCGGGCGAGATGACCCCTTGCGTCTAATTGATTGGTGAATAAGGGATGCTTTTCGCTGTACACCACAGACTTCTCGAACCTGCACCGTACCTAGCTTCGTTCCTTCTGACAGTTCATGCTCGGTGTGCCTCTCAGAGGAATGCAACTGGGATCGCTCGGTTCACCACCGTAGACACAAGCAGAAGGAATTGGACCCTTGTCTCCCTGCCTTACCACACGATCACCGACCGTAGTTCTTTCCGTGCGTGCTCCCGGGCGTGATGATGATCTATGAAAGACGAAGATAATCCTGACACCTCTGGTCGAAGTACGTGGTAGATGTAGTACCACCAACATATGTTGTGGTGGTTTGCCAAGCTCAAAGAATGTAGATCAAGCTAGTAAATGAACAGTAACAAGCGAATATGCACCTCGAATGCAAAGCGCTCCCACAACTGCAGATAACACTACCTTCCATTTTGCACGTGTGCAACTCTGATAGAGGGGTGACGACTAGGACGGAAGGGCGTATTCAGTAGTCTATAAACCATGTGCACATGACAACCGTCGGGAAACAACCCAGCACGGTCGACTACAATAGTATGTTGTGGACTCTGTTCGCACACCGCGGTCTATTAGGGGGTAGGGGATTCGCAGTACCTCCTCTGAATAAAACAGGAAACGCCTGCATATCTCAGTTTTCCGAATTCTTGCTCCAGTACGAAACTGCCATCGTAAATTAATCGTCCGCAGCGGTTGCTTGTGTGCGATGTTAGTATCTGAGGTTGTAATCCTTGCGATACACAACAGATTGGCGGTCTGCGATTTTCCAAACGATCCTTATATCATTGAGATCGGTGAGCTACAAGCAGGCGGACCGGTTTTGGAACGCTTCAAGCACACAGTAACGGCGAATCGGCGCCTTTGTGAGTGTGTGGGGCAGCGAAATTAAGCGCAACTCTTCCCTCACATGTCCTACTCGTCGCCATAGTCGATTTGAATACCTGGGATGATGTGTTTGTAGGCCTGGCCACAAGCATGAGTGCTTGAAGCGTTTCAACATCGGAACGCACAGCATCTTTCAAAATCCTGCGCGTAACTCACCGATCTCGATGATGGAAGGATCGCTTGAAAAGTCGTGGACCGCTAGTCTGTAGTGTATCACATGGGCTACAATCTCAGAAACTAACATTGTACACAGGCGACCGCTGCAGACGGTTAATTTGCGATGGTAGTTTCGTACTGGAGTTAGACTTTGGAAAACTGAGATATGGAGGCGTTTCCTGGATTTTTTAAGAGGAGGAACTGCGATCCCCCCCGCGCCCTTAGCGCACTGCTGATTATTTTCCAGTCTGCATGCACAAAGTCTGTATTGATTGAGGTGCCGCAGATGTCATCCAGACAACATTCGTACATGTACGCACATCCCCGGCACCGAAAGGAGGATTCCGACCTTGTTCAACGGGACCGTACACTCCTGCAGTACGTACTCAGGCACAGTGAGCATTGTATGACAAAATGTGCGACTTCTGTACTCGTAACACGCGGATAGGGCCACACAAGTCTGAAGACGAGCACAGCAGTATTCGTTGCATGCACCCTGAAAGGCCCTCGAAACAAAAATACATGTAGGGATGGTCTCGGCAGTCTGCTGTAAAGATACCGACAACAACGAAGACCTGAAGGTTACTGTTTCCAACAAAGGAAACTCAGAGCTGACGCTGTCGGGACTCACAGCTGGGACAAAAAATGTATCGTCAGAAGCATCGTCGCCGCTCTCGCCAGATCCGCTGCTGTATGACGAACTTGTATAGGACTCACTGCCGCTCGAGCCGCTGGTTTTCTCCTCCGAGCCAGTAGTCTCCTCCGTCGACACTCGGCGCCTACGATACTCGCCGGATCCACGAGCTGCCTTTTTCTCCTGCTGAAGATCTTTTGAGATAATGCTTCTTCTCTCATCTAGTTCGATTTGCTGGGATGGGTTGAGTTGTTTGACCCCTGCATCTTGTTGGCTGCTGCGGAGATCTGTTCCACTGTCCACCGGCGTCGGCCTGTCACCCTCTACTGCTGCGCCGGAGTCGGCGGCAGGCGCATGTTCCCGGTAGTCGACAGACTTCTTTGGCACGGTCTCAGTCCTTGGCGTGACTGAGGCAGCCTCGGTAACCTTGATGTCATCTTTTGAAGGCTCAGGGACAACTTCTGCCGCCTTGGTGGAACCTGCAGGACTGATCTCATTTCGCGTTGGGCGTGGAGCCTTTGGAGGTGAATCGTTGTTGCGTTTCTTCGATGTGGCGGCAACGGGGGTCGTCTGGTGGGGGCCTTCCTCTCGATATTGTTGCGCCTTGGGCTTCTCTTTGCTCACAGCACTAGATTCGTAAGGTGATACACTGGCGCGATTACCCATACTTGCTTGAGGCGCCAAGGCGCCTCACCCCTGGCCTCTTTGTCCGGAGGAGGGAAGGAAAAGAGCGAAGCGCTCGGGTTCATTTTGGGGGCGGCGCAACTCATGAAACGCCAAGTACCGATTCGAAACCCGCCGCATACAAGTATTAGTATTGTATTTGGACATATTTTTCCTTATAATATATTTGGACTGAGAGAGCAGGGGGGAGAGCGCAAGGGGGGGGGGGGTAAAGAGAGACAAACAAGCGGTAAGGCTGAGAGCGCTGTGCCAGAATTCAAGCAGCTATGAAGCCTCGAGGAAAATCACGGTCAGAGGTTGACCGAGCCCCCTCGGCTACTGACTCTAATACGATGCTGTCGCGAACAACAGTGCGATGTGCGGCCCGTCAAGTATGCATAGGCGACATGGAGGAGGAGCTGCACAACGCGTTTGCCATGGCGCGGTAAGACGAAACAATGGAAAGTGTGGTATTACAGCAAGGTCAACTATTTGGCATGTGGGAGCAGCACCCTCGTTGATGTCTCTTTCACATATCGAGCTGACCCTAGGCGACCAATTACGGGTGCCTACTTCAAACCATGTGTGATACCTACAGTGTGCCAGGAGGGACTGACTTCGTCTACGAGCGCGATCATGACGCGTTCGCGCGGCTTGATGATTATTGCAACTGGAACCAGGTATACGCTACTTAGTGCTAGCATCTATAAGCGAATAAGTGTAGCCGTTATAGTAGTGCAGTGCGCCAACGCCATAGTGTACAACAGTCAATCCTGCTGTCCACCTACTGCTGTACGCAGGCTACACATATGACAAACACAGTATACGTTACTTAAATGTTAAACACGCGCTCATCACGGAGGCACCCGCGAAAGCTCGCAAAGTGTCTTCCTATTCGAAATGTAAGAGAGGTTCTGCGCATGCATCTCTACATGTAGACTACAGCAGTACTGCTGCTGTCCTGTGCTCGACAATACTGAGTCTAACAACTACACAGTTAGTTTATGTTTCCTTATTAGACAGTACGAAGCATGCAAAAGGTTTCGCTTTCTGCGTCATCCCCGTCCCGAACGCACCGTTGTGGTATCACATATTTGAACAATGCCTGCAGATGTCAGAACCAGCAGCTCCTTTGGTGGTTTCTGGGCCCTCTGGGTCGGGCAAGAGTGCTCTCCTTGCGAACTGGCTTTTGCACTACCGCCGGCGGTTGGAAAAGCGGCCGAAACACGGAGGGGCGTCGGAGAAGATCCTTATTTTTTGCCACGCAGTCGGGCAAGTGTTCTCAAATCGTTGTACACAGCAGTGCGAACGCAGTGAATGGATATCGCCTTCAGCGTGTCTTAATCAGGATTCTTGACTGCAACACTTGTGCACGGTTGGGAACTTCATAAGCCCTCCGCGATACCGGGACGATTGGGGGGCATATGGAGTCGCGCCGAAGTTTTCGTGCTTAGTCTACAGGCCTGCCAAGATGACTGCTGCACCGCATCCGTGGCACGTTACTCTCTCTACCTTTGACTACGTAGGTGCACACGACATGGCGTCGAGGTGGACCAGTTACTGTGGAGGCTTCTCGCGGACGTCAAGCAGCGATTCGATTTGGTTCGAAACGTTCCAAACGAAGCAGAACGGCTCAGCTGGGAATTGCCGCGCTTTCTTGATCTGGCAGCAAGAGAGGGGCGTGTGATCATCGTTGTTGACGGCCTTCACCGCCTCCAGGACAAGAATGGTACGTTAGCACGCCGCGTTGGCGAGAGGGGCGCAAATGCCTTCTACGCGCTCACCCGCGGCTTCCTTTGTTGTACAGCCGCTGACGTTTCGAACCGCTGATCTCCCCGCTCTCACGTGTCAGGGGGAGAAATTGGTCTGCAGTGGCTCCCCCTCCGGATTCCAGGCAATGTTCGGATCATCGTTACCGCGACACATCCAGACCCAAACTACCTCCAGCTTCACGAGCTAAAAATCAGACAACACATGGCCAACCCCCACCAGTCACTGCTCTCGTCCCAGCCGTCTGACAACTCAAACGGGGTCGGTGATACGCACGCAAGCGGCGGCGGGAGCGGCGGCGGTTCTACCGGCAAGGGAAAAAGCAGTGCCGGGACCGGCGAAGAAGGCGAAGCGGAGTACGAGAGTAGTCATCGGCGACGAAAGGTGAGCAGGCAAACGCACCGCCGCTGGACGGTCTGCTAATTATTGTGCGAGTGGTGCGGAGGCAGCGAGAAAATCCAGGTGTTTCGCATGGTGGCCGAGTTGCCGAATGTGGCCGGGGTTCATCCAGCAGTAGCCCGCTGCACGTCGCGGGATTCATAAGGGAAGGCACCGACCCTCGGGGCTCTTCGGTAGAAACCCTCGTGCCACCCCGATGCTGGAGCTCAATGGAAGCTGGCGTGTTTTGGCGTCTGACGATGTGTATCTCCCAACGGATACTCGTCATTGTGATACTTCCTTCACCTATTTTCCATAGGTGCTCATGGAGCTTTCTCGAAGAAAGTGGCCAACTTTGGAACTCGGGCCGCTCCAGAATTGGCGCAAACGCGACATCGTGGAGGCATTCCTCAGGCGCTCACTCTCGGGGACAAGAACGCAAGATTCGGTACCCTCAACCGCGAACAGCGATTGTCGACCAAAACCACCACACGCTTCTTCGGAAGAAGGGATATTTCTGACAGGGGTCGACATGAAGGAGAATGGAACAATCGGCCTCGGGACTGGCACCGTGACTAGCAGTGTAACGCCGGGGGGATCGGGAGAGCCGGGTTCATCGCCGGGTTTGGTCTTGTTCCCGTCGATGATCGAGAGTATCCTGTCAAAGTACGTTTTGTTCCTCAGACCTGCATAGATGCTTGGACACATTAAATGGACTCGAAATCTGAGCTTGGTCCGCCAAGAGCTGAAATGTGTGTGTGGCATGGACGCGTTGTCCTGGCAAGTGAAGTAGACACACTCAACCCCGTTCTGAAGGTTCCTTACTTACGTAGAGTATCTATCGTTTCTATATCCCTGACACAGTGACATCCACTTGGCGAACCACGCAGTATCAAACCTCACAACGGGCTCTCCTTCGAATATATCTGAATGCATGCAACATGTTTAAGAATGACCCACCCGAACGTTGTCTAGATGCTCGTAACAACGGTTCCGGCGCCACCAAATGCGATTCCAGCGATGCCACGAGCTCCGCGCTGTACTTGCGTACGCTGCTCCGGGCTCTCGATTGGGCGGCGAAGAACGCGTACGACGTGCGTGCATTGCTGAAGAACATGCTGAACACGACGACTGTTGGTCAACTGTACAACGTGTTCTTCGACAGGTACAGCAGAACCAAACGTATTCTTGATGGCCTCAGGGTTAGAATTAGGTGGGGGTACCCATGTTTGGCTTCTTGAACACAGCCCAATCGCGTAATAACGCCTTTCATAGTCTCCAGCCACCGATACAGCTGTAGCGTGTCCCACGACACAATTTTGTTTTCTCGGGTAGCGTCGTTCAGTCGCGCAATAGAGATTGTTCCCGGTGTATCAACGTACAACCAAGCGGAGGTGGGTGCTCGCTCAACTACCCTCCTCCCTTTTTGGTTTACGGTCGCCTCTTGATCTTACTCATCTGTTCCCATAGCCTTGAAAGCGGCAGCAATCCCACAGAGACATCGATACGGATCGCGGAACAGGACAATGAAGCCGAAGGGGGCAAGCAAGCGCTGCAGGACGTTATCGATGCTCTGGGGGGAGAAATGCCCCTCAACTCACTAGATTCCAGTTCTTCCGCCGAGAGTCATACAGGTGGCAACCGGCACCGGCAGCGGCAGCAGCAGCAGCACTCCGCCGTCGCGTCCGAGAGACCGGGGCATGTAAATGATGCAGTAGTTGGCGTCGACGCTGCTCAAGAAGGACAAACGAGCGGAAACATGGCGTCGGACAAACTCCAGGTCGTGGAAGGAGCCAACGACAACGCGAAAGGCGAGGGCAATGACTGCTCAGAAGAGGGAAATGAAGAGGAGGACGCAGGGTGGAGCGAAGGGGAGGGCGACGAATACAGCGAGGAAGGGTACGAAGACAGTGATTTCGAAGAGATCGAGGAGGGTGAGCAGGTGAAAGTAGGGAGAAACAAGTCACCTCCAGAGGACGGTGCTTCGTCGACAAAGTTTCAAGAAGCAGCCATGACGGACGGGATAAACCAAGAACAGGGGACAGACGGTGGTACTCAAGCTAGCATGTCTCGGGAGGAAGTTGGTCCAGGACCAACTGGCTCCGAACCAACTCAGAATCGTGCCGGCAATGTCTTCGGGGTTACGGATGAATCCAGGAGTGGCGGCTTGCCCTCCAGAGCTTTCGCCTTGTCTGAGGTTCCGGTGTATCTGTCGGGAGGGACAAAGGCGAGTACAAGGGTGCAACGATTGCTCATTCAGGTTCATCACTTTTCGGTGGCACTCCAATTTTGAATCTTGTTTTTGACGCAGCATCCTATTACGGCAATGGCTTCTATTGTACTTCGCTTCATGGTTTGCTTTCTTTCATGTTTCTCGCTTTTCATTCCCCACCTTGGTTTCTGGTGTCTTGGGAACTGTACTACGTGCACGAGTGGAGGACGCCATTGTTTTTTTTCTAGCTTATTTCTGTATGCCATATTGTGCCAACTCGTGCCACGGCAGGCCGTTTCTTTGCGATTGGTTTGTAGGGAAGAGGCAGTGCTCGATAGACATCAGAACCTCGTTTAGAATAAACAGAAAGGAGCCAGAACAGCAGTGAAGATCTTGGCAAGCCCGTATCTCTCGGGAACAGTGCTGAGGGATCGCCAAACGTAACTTTGGAAACAATTGGAATATTCGCTGCCATCAGGCTTCCACTAAAATTCGCATCAGCATTGCAAAAGGTTATCCAGTCAGCCGTCGACGCTTGTCAACTGCTGTCGACTGCTCCGGTGTGAGTTTTCCTTCAGCAGTCCATCGCCCTGTAACTCGTTCTCCAGAAAACTGTTGAATATCCATGCTTTGTACCGCTTCCTGCCTTTCCACAGCGCCACGAAATATCGCTGCAAAGGCAAATGCGATCGAGACCCTGCCCCAAGATGCGACCGCTGACAGGAACAATTGCAAGATAATGGGGAAACAATTTCAAGATAGCGGGGAAATATACATGCCCCCCCTTTTCGCCCCTGCGGCCTCTCTATCTGCGTTCGTCATTCACAATCGCGTGAACCGCATTCCCAATATCAACAAAGGTCGAAGGGTTTGGTGTGAAGGTCGGTCGCGCGGTGGCCCTCCTCCACGTCGTCCGCCATGGCCTGAGGTCCCAGGAGCTGTGGTCATTGCTCGCAGCATTGGAGGCTTACTCGTCAGCCCAGGAGAAGGTGCGATGTCATATGTAGCGATCTTCATGCCGAGGGGGGTGCCAACTTGACACGCTACACCGCATGAGGTCGCCAGGTGAAGACGATCGTACGAGAATCAATGATGACATGCGATTGACGATTCGTCAATTCACGTGGGTTGCAATATCCTGCTGCGGCCGGATGTAGCCGCTTGGCGTGTGATGCACGATGCGACAAGTTCGCCGTTGTGCCTGAAAGCGTATCGGATACACTATGTCCCTTTTGTTATTTGTTATGACGTCGAATCCTCAATAGTATCCCTCCCCTATCGAAAATCTAGTGTCACACCACCTTTGCATTGCTGCTAGTCTCATCCCCGTCCTACCTCCAACGAAATGTTTGCGCTACTCAGGCTGAGGGCACAGAAGGGGAGGCCGAATCGCGGCTTTTGCGAAAGCTGCTCAGAAACCAGAACCGGCTGATTGACAGCATACGCCAGATGGATACCGACAGGGACGGCGTTGTCTCCACGGCGGAGTTCCGAGCCGCGATCGTCTCTATGAACCTCGGCCTCACCGATCGTCAAGTGGAGAAGCTTATCCACTCTATCGACGTGGACAACGATGGGGAGCTAGACATGCAGGCAAGTGCCCTCTACTGTTGGAAGTTTATGCCGGAACAACTACAGTACCACTTAGTGTTCTTTAAGCTCAGGGGTGCTAGGCTGGTGCCACACAGGGAGAGCACGAACGCTATCACACTCGAGCCAAGGAGTACACTCCTGTTGGTGTTATGACGGCATGAACCTCGTCATATTCGGGATCGGGGATCGGTTCATATGGGCGAGGGTTGAGCATCACGTTCACTCTACGTTTCATGCGCAGAGGGATATCACGCATGATTGGGAGCGCCAATTGCTTGGGTCAAACGGACTTATGTGCTTTGAAATTGCCAAACGACGAATGGCTATTGAGCGGTGGGATGCCGTGATGTTGAACCAAGGTGGACGCAGCCCTGATCGGAGAACCCGTGTGCTAGCGTGCAAAGATGTCCGGTAATACAGGGCAGTTTGGATTGTATAGCTGCTCGTGCTGGGTGGACCCACAGCCGACGCCCCACCGAGAATCAGGCCTACTGTCTGACGGACGTGTCAAATAGACGTATATACCACGCGTGTGGACCACCTGCCCATCCTCCAAAATGTTGTGTCCTCCGAGAATAGGAAATGATCGAGAGATTCTCCACTACCGCACGAAAGATGAAGCACGGTGGCGGAAGCAGTGGGCGGAAACACAGTCAGGTGGGGGCGCCAGTCTGTGAATCCCCACTCTCGGGCCTATGGTCACTTCTTTCCGGAACGCTACAATATATTGAGGTCTCTCAACTTTAAGCTTGTGGTGGATTGTAAAGGGATGGATTCCGCGGTATTGGTTTACTTTGTGGAGAACATGGAAGCAACAAATCGAGTCTAGATTTCTCCCCTTTCATCCCAACCCGTGTTGTGGGCGCTCGACCCTACCTTCGTTGTGACCATAAGCTTGTCGGTCGATCATGGGTTCTAGTTTTTTGTGCCTCATGAAGAAATACACGTCTGCCAGGGCGCCGGATCAGCACGTAAGCTTCCTGATTGCGCGTAGGTGAATAACGTAGCCTCGTTCTCACCATCGCCCTAACCCGACAACGCCTTCGCCTGCCGTTGCTACAACCAAAACAGAGCGCCAGGAAAGGCGAATTCGAGTCTAGCACTTGGAGCGACTTCACAGAAGAAGTAAGAGCCAAAGAGGGAGTTGTCGTGCTCGGAGTGTTTGGCTTGAGCTCACGTGTATGGCGTAAAACATTTGTGCTTGACCCGTTTGCTCTGCTGTCTTTCACTGACGCGTGATTCGAGATATTGCGGTACCCCAGGATTGTCTCAACGAAGAATTGCCTCTCTCTGTAGTTTCAGAAAAGATACCGGTACGACTTTGGCCTAAGGGAGGAGTCTCACGCGCAGTCAATCACGTTCAGATCATGCCAGCCGATGATGAAAGCGGAAAACCCTGAGCACTGCCACCGGTCGGCGTTGCGTGAATCCTGACACGCCAAATCCAATCGTATGCATAAGAGGGGTGGCGTGGAAGTCCCACGCGAAAAGGGGGTCGCGATAGAACTAAACTGCGAGCACGAAAAAAGGCAGACGTAGCGGTGGCCAACCTTTGACTTGTCGATTGTCTTATCAGGTGCCTGATTGCGTGCAGCACCTAGAGTACCGCAGCAATGCTGCTGCGCCAGGGTTGTGCGGCAAGGCTGCATGTACTAAAGAATGCACCCATTGCCCGTTCTCAAGGAATTGCACACTCTCGCGATACCTTTATATTATGCACTCTCTCGCCTCGCGCCGCTTTCTCCAGGACGCCGGCGACACCAGTTCTCTATCAGACGGGGCCAAGGCCTCCCTCAAGTCAGCTCTGTCGGTGTTGGGCGTGTGCCACGACGGTCTAACCCACAACGGAGAGGAGCATAGCATCTTTGTACTCGGGCTCGACGCTGAGGACCTGCGGGAAGTGGTACGAAAAAGGCTATTTCACTGCACGGGCGAGCGTTGTCCGCCAGAACGCGTCGATAAAGCACATTTATTGCGGAGAGTTTGGGTATGCGCGCCCTTGGTCTGTACCCCGCCCCCATCTGTAGCCCCGCTTACCATCTTGTTTCAATCGATCACAACAGGTGTCTCGACGATACGTGACGTCTGATAGTGCTTGGCACTCTCGCCTGGTGCGGTTCTTCCAGGCGCAGCCACCAAGCCCCCGAAGGTGCGAGGAGCTCCCATGGCACCTAAAAAAGTGCTACAGGTGGCACCCGCTCAAGAACTCCTTGGTCAATCTGCGGACGTTTGAGGTGCGTCTAATGTTCTTTTCATGTGCTGTGAAGTTTTTCATTGCAGGTTGTGATGTTGACGGCCAGAGTCGTATTTGCTGATTGACCCAACCGCGACACGACCGGGTAGATTGAAAGCTATGGTCTTGACATGCATCTATTGTGTAGATTCCGCGTTGAATGTTTCGAGAGCTCAAGTGCCGTCCAATGTAATAGCCAAACTCTCCGCCTACCACAGCGCTGTACAGAAATGAACAGCAACATCGTTGTACCCAACCACCTGAATGCCCTTGAAACGCCTTGCCTTGGAAGACAATGTGGACGACGACCCAACTGAGAAGGGAGTTGATGGACTACTGGAAGCTTTTGACGGAGGGGCCTCTCCATGCTAGTGAAGAAGCAGCAGCGGCTGACCTCAGGAACGACAGTAAATCGAGACTCGTCAGGTGCGAACTTCTGCTACACTTCCCGTCAACGATAGTGAAATAGTCATCATCTTACACCTACCAGCATGCTTGGAATTCGTGGATGTTTGGCAGTCAGCCACGGATTCTATGCCGGATATCCATGCTCAAGGTACCTTCGATCATCCCAAGCGCAAGCATGTGTTATGCCAATGAGATACAAACACTGCGTAGCTGTGTCGGGATGCTACCATGGGAGCTTGCATACTTCCCCTCTTCACGAAAAACCGGTCGCACTATTGTACGTCATGTTGTGTTTGCCCAGCCTCATGATGCAGGAGTCATGCAATCGAGGAATGGGGGGGTCGTCCGTGAGTGCGGCGGATATAATCGCTGTCGGTAACGACGGCAACGGCGACAGTTCTGGCAAGGTATGGCAGCATAGACTTACAATATGCCTCATGTCGATGTGGCGCTGCCGAAACGAAGAGATGCCACACTAGAGAGCGGTCCAACAAGCGCACCACATATAGTGAAAATGTCCTGTCTCTGCGGAGACGAGGTTGCGTCGGCTATCCTGCCTCTCTTGTAGGGCAACAGGCACCGTTTTCTTTCAGAATCTGATTGGACTCGTGACTTGTGTGTGTCCCCAAGGTTGCGCCCTTTGACCTGGTTTTCGAGTACAACCACGCCGTTGAGGGGTGGCAGGCGTTGGGTCGCCCGACAATATCGCGGCTTGGAGAGATGGTTCACACGATCAGTGACTTCATGAGGGAGATGAGCCAGCTCGTTCAAAAGGAATATGCTAGGTGAGATGCATGCGGACCTTATCTGCTAAACAAGCCAAAATATGAGGGATATTGGTCCTGTAGTACATGTTTCACTCGTTGGATAGACGACTAAACGCTCGCTAGCGGTGCACGGCGAACTTGGGGCAAGCCAAGTCTGTCCAGCATTTGAACGTCGGTTGGCACCCCAAAATATTGACCTAGCAAAAGCCAGATGCTGGGGAAACATGAAGCGACGCGTGTCTGTGGTACCCGACTCTACCTTTACGTGGAATATAGCCTCCTCCCGTTTCCCAGCGGGCAAAGAAAACTCCCACAAGTTTCCTACCATGGAACGTTTCGCGGCGGCTCTCCAAATTCTTACGCATGTCTCTTCCGCGGGTGCGAACCTGAGAAGCCCGCCGTTCCTGCACATGCCCCTGGACTTCAAGACCTTGGAAAGTGTCGGCATCAACCCCGATCTGATCGCGTGGACAGGGGCGGATGCCACTCCCGCCTTGCGAGAAGGGGCTGAAGAGGTGTGGGTCCGGGAAACATGGTTCGCCTACGTCTTTTCAACTGATTGTGTCCAACGGATCATGTCACAGCGAATGTGGACGGCGCTTGACTACCGTTTTTTGCCCGATCTTTCATACTAGCTGGAGCTTTGTGCTCTGTTGGAGAAATGACCCACGGTCTCCTCCCAACCGCTTCTCGACTCATCCACCCGTTCAGCATGTGAACGCGAGAAATAAGGACGATATCCTGGCAAAGCCGAAGGGTGCTCCCAAGGACAAGCTTTCCTACTACCGCGTGGCCCCTTTCTACTACTTCCAGGTTAAACTATTTATGATGAGGTGTTCTTAGTCGATTTCGAAAGTTTCCTCGACTTCGACATTTGTCTCAATATCTTTCCTGTTGGAGTAACACTCGATGCGAGGTCACGGATTTGAAAGACCATCCCCGTGGCCGTCCACTTGTCTTCCCACGACCTTATATTTTCAGAACCGAAAAGCCTTGTTTCGCACGTGTTCGTAGGAGGCCGAACTACCGTAGGTTGTGCTCCACGAGCTGTTCGCTAAAGTTAACCACATAGAATGATTGGTTGGGTGATTGGTTGCCTGATTGGCCCCCATCATGTTCTCTGTCTGTTTGCAGCTGTGTGTTGTTGTTGTGTTGCGACGAATTGGGACCACTTTTCCGCGGTGCCAAACGCACAAGACCCGGCGTGACCAGTCTGGCCATCCTCTTCTGGACCATGCCGACAATTATTTGCGACACACACGTACCACGTTCGAGTGAGGGCGAGGTTGAACAGCGCGCAAGGTTTCGGTTGTCGAAGAACTTCGGCGTCTAAAGTACGCCTATTTGCCTCTCACGCTCCCCACCCCGTATGCCGTTGGTCCCTCCGTAATCTAGCGATGGCTGTGGGTTCAGTTTCCTTGGATGGCGTTGTCGGGAAGCAGCGCCGGTGTGGTGTCAGCAGGACCAGCGGGTGCGAGAGCAGCAACGACAGTGGCCGCGGAAGGGTTTGGTTTTGGAAGTGGTGGCAACTCTGGCGTTGGCGATCGGGGTGATGGAAAAGGCGCCTTGCCAGACAAATCACGCAGGCGAGGGAGAAACCCCATGAGTAGTTCTGATAGCTTCTCACTGAAAAATTCGTATTGCTACTATTGCCGAAAAACAACGTTTCTGGTTCTGCCTTCCATGTGTGCACCCATTTCTGTCTGAATGTCTTCAAGGACGTGGCATACCGATGTACTGACATGTGTGGAGGTTTGACCAGGATGCCGCAATAACGGTGCCGTATGCGATAGGCATGGCTATGGGCCTCTGCAGAAATAGTACACATTTTAATGCACGCGTAAGGCTGCCATCTGATCCGTGTCAGGCTGATTCTGTATTTGCTGCACGATGACTTATTCGGTGTCGATGTGCAATGCTCTTTCTTGATGGTACGGATGGCAATCGAAAACAGATTCTGGCGTGTAAAGCGGATAGATCCGTTTGGAGAGCCTTCGGTGAACGTAAGCGAAGACCGACTGAGGTCACGACTCAAGGCGGAGGTCGGGAGATCGGTGACGACTACTCTACTGGTGAGGAGAGAACCCGTCCGTGACAGTCGTAGACTCCTTAGGATGAGGATTTCTTAGGATGAGGATTTCGATGTCCAAAGGGGCTTCAGCCTTTCTGCTCTATGTACAACGGATGCAGGCTGCCCCTTGGTCGCCGCCTAACATCAGTATGCGAACGCCAGCAATGGCCCAGGAAACAAGCGAAAAGGCCTTCACCAAAACGCAATGATGTGTTGGTTTTCCGCGGCACCTTTCCTCTAACTCTTCGTATGGATCACACACGAATTTCCTGTGCTGGGACAGGACACGCAATCACACTATAACCTCCTCAACGATGTCGGCGCCGGGATGGCGTCCAACGCGGCGCATCGGCGACACGCTCTTCGTGTGGAAGCAGAGGAGACGTTCGGCAAACCACCCCGTGCAAAACAGCCGGTGAAGGCAGTAGAAATGGAATTGTTCCAGGTTTTCCGCAGGGAAGTGTAGTTCTGGGATGTTGTTGCTAAGTACACAATCATGATTCGGCTGCTGAACAGCTTGAAATATTGGCAGATTGTCCACCTCGTTTTGCATCTGCGATAAGCACAACAGCACTACCAGGGGAAGACCATAATCCACCGGATCTGGCAATCCAGGCGTTTGATAAATGTGCACACGAGCGTACGACCACGGTGCTTGCCCATAGTAAGCGCCAGTTCTGTCCATGCGCAATAAAACAGCGCACGTTGGCTTCTGTGGGGAGCGCACCACTGTCTACCAACAATGGTACTGGTGGCCGGGGCGGCTTCCTGAGCGAGGACGACTCCGACTTGAACTCGGCTATCGTGACGTCTCCTGCTGACCTAAAGTCACTAGGAATAGGGCGGTGAGAAGACAATAACGCGAATAAAATAGCCTGAAGAAACAAGATTAGAACGTCCCGACATGTCGGGAAAACCTTTGTATTGCCGGGTGTGCAATCGACTGTTGCCTTGTCGCAGTAGTCGACCACACAAGCACTCGTGGGTGGAACTTTACATTTTCCTTCGCACGTGTGCCATATCTCGCGCTGGTCAAATGTATTGCGTGATTCCGTGGCTCAGGGACGTTTTGGCTAGCATTGTAGGGGGCGGAGATTTGATGGGACAAGGCGGCGGCATTGCAAACGACGGGGATGGTAGTGCTGGGTCGAAGGCTCGGAGTGGCATAGGCGGAGGCCGAGGAAGAGGGCGCAACAGCGGGCTTGGAGCTTCGCACTACCGCAGGGCACTTGCGGACGGACGAAAGGTAAATGCCATGCACCGTAAATGGGGGTGAAATCTGTCAAATGTCAAGCAAGGTACACACCGAGGGGTGCGATTGTGGCAGATGAGTTTGCGTAGGTCGTTTTTCGGCACCCTCCACGAAGCGGGCAGGAAAAAGTAGCAAGCGACTGGTTCGCGCCTAAAAGACACAATTTGTCTTGCTCGCAATGAGTTTGGATGGGGGTGTAATTTATCGCTACAACAGGATGAGTTGGGTGTTCTTGAAGCAAATGTTGATGATCGATTCCCGCTCTCTCCCGTACACACGCTCGCGGGCGCTTCCTCCTCTTTTTTTAACCATGCAGGCTATTAGCGTGCTAGCAGGCACAAACCCGCTGTCTCCGTTGCCAGGGAAAGCCTTGGTGGAGACTGGAAGTTTCCTGGGCACTAGCATCAGCATATTCCCGATGTCCATGGATGAGGAAATGTGCGTCAACTTGTAAAGGTGTAGCCACGACAAACAATCGAGAGGCCCAACAATAAACGTGAAAACGCGTTACAACAATGAGACCGCCTACCACTTCCACTTCTTTGCGAAGATCTACGGCTGCCATCCCCTTTCGGTGTCGGAGTGTACACCTCAGTTTACAATTTTTTTATGTGTTTGATGTAAGGTGCAAATATCAGTATTCACTCTCTGTCGCTCGCTGTTGATCGCATTTCTGTTCAACCGGCGGTCCACCAGGGTGCATGAGGCCAAGGACATGGCACTAAAGCTGCGACATATCCACGACGCCCTGCAAGGAGAAGTGAAACGAAAGACCAAGAGACTAATCGAGATCAAGCGAGGCGTCGAGGAGCGGAATTCACAGGTTACGCGTGGGATCATACAGAAGTATCTCATTTTTCATTTATCCACGATTAGATTGACATGTCATTTCAATACACAACATTTTGTGGGACTTGGGCTCCACCAACGTGGTGTGAAGCGCCCATTATTCTAGGCTCAGAAAAATCTTGATAGGTCTCTGGCGTCCATCCTCGGGAAGACTTGTGTTCGTCGTCGTTGTCTGCGACCCGTCCAACAACGTCTCCCCAACTACGACGTGGCGGCAACTCGGTCAACCCCCTTCCTCCCCCACCTGCTCGATGCAGGACGCGTACACAATGTCGCGCACGATGGCGGGAGAGAACATGATCAAAGCGCTTGAGACGCGATTCACCAAGGTACGCTCCACGAGCGCCGAGCTAGACAGAGTTGGGGCGTTCTACGGCCGCATCATCGAGCTATGCGTGGGCAACCCGCCGAAAGACAACCGTCACCTGCGTGCCCTCGAAGAACAGGTGCACACAACATCTCATTCCGTAGTATTGTCACAGTAGCGAGACATTTAGAGTTTTCCAAACGGACGGCCTCGAAACCACTTTCTAGTGGGGTTGGGATCGGACAACTTGAGATCGTTATGAATATGTGACAAGATAGAGTTGCTGCATGCAGTATTAAGGATACCTCATTTGTCACTCATACACGCCTTGTTTCCATGCGTTACTCGTCGCCCGCACAATTGGTGCAAAGCTACCGAATCACCACGAGCGAGCGAAAACCAATGTCCTTCTGATTCACTCCTTGTTCAGGTGTTTTTGTCCAAGCAACAAACGACCGACCTGTCTGGAAAGGTCCAGAAACTTCTTTTCGAGAAAGACGATATTGAGCGCCTTGGCATCGACGGTCTCAGGGTTCAGCTTGCCCGCACCAAGGCCGTTCGTCAAAAGGCAAGCGCTAGCTGTTTCGTTTTTCCTCTCGGGTCTGACGTACCCTGGACACAACAAGCAACCTCTGGATTGTTTTTTTCGCTACCGAAAGCACGGCGACTACCACCGTAAAGTTGCTGTTATCGGATGGCCCTTGTGGACGATGACGCGTTCCCTGCCTTCTAAACACCTCGCCAACTTTGATCCAATGAACGACCGTAATATCCAGGCATGGAACAATCCTGTACACTGACAGGAATTTCTCCGCAAACTCCTGTGGTCTCCAGAGTATTGAACGCGTGGCTGATGTCACGCGCGCTCTTTGTGGGGCCTGTCATGGCTGTCTATGCTTGAAATGGTGTTTTGCTGCCTTGTTGGTTTTCTCGCTGCTGCTGGCACGATGACTCGTGGTCCTCCTCGTGCGCATTGCAGAAGGCACACTTGGCATGACTGGGTGGTAGTCTTCACTTCCAATTCAATCTCACGTTTGAATGAGGACCGTCGCTATGTCGAAATCACAATGCGACAACATTCAACACATACTCCGTGTAGGTTCATCCCTAGTGTTGTCAAAAGAGTCAGTTGCACACCCCGCTTGGCTGCTGATGAATTGGTGATATTAAGCATAGTCACTAGTGTATGACCACGAGGTATCCTAATGGCACAGGAAAATGCTTCTTGGTGTATAGAAAGTCCAGATACAACGCCCACCAACTCGCGACTGTATTGCAAGCTGGTTCAGTGCGAAATTCAATACGGCTGAAGGGTATTCAACTACTTAGAATCACTCAACAGTTCGAACGTTAGCTGCTAGGTCCCACATTGAAACACGACGACCTTGGTGTGGAGTAGTTTCCAATCGTGCTTGAGTTCGGGACCATTTTCTCATGTGTGAAAAGTGAAGACGCCATAAATAGAGTAAAATGCGATCCGGAATCGAGTGAATCCTTCAAGTAGGCCGTCAATCTTGTCCATAGTTTCACTTTGTCAGCTGTCGATAATTTCGCTTACATGTCGTCGAAGATGGCGTCCTCGGCAAATTTTTGTGTCGAGGCCCAAACGAGACTCCTTACGTGTTACCCTCCTCGTTGCCTGTGTGACCGAATCATCTACGTACGCTACGATCATTCGTTGTGATTGCTAGCGCATGTCAACTCCCCACGAACGTTATCTTCTTCCTTGTCAAATGTGTCCGGACAGCAAGTCACGATCGTGAAGGTGCCTTGATGCGACCACTGCAGGCCTTGATGCGATCTACCGAAATTTCCAATTTCCAACCGCAACGTCGTCAACTGAGTGAATGAATGGCACAAACTGACAGGTCATGAGATCGTTTCGAAAGACCTCGCCATGTTAGCAAGAAGACTCGCTTCATTCCTGCTGTGAATGGCTCAGCGCGAGACCCAGTACAAGGGAATGTTCCCCGGTTTTTGAACGTGAAGTGCCAGTAACAAGGAAAAGAACGAACGCTGCCCGTTGACTGTTTCCACGACGAGAAGCTTGTCTGTCCAAGCTCGGCCTGGATGATATAGGAGGATGATGCCGCCGTACTTTCGGTCAACAATGTGTCTGCAACGACAACCATCCTACGTCTCCTTGCCCGCCTGCCCAAATATCAACTTTACGTTTCGCAACCCGCGCATTCAATGTGGCCGATTGCTTCGAGGTCTTCGCCGGGGCCAGGCAACTGCCGTCTGATAACTGTACTGCCCACAGTGAACCCATCTCCGACTTTCTGTTCTCAACGATGCATCTGTCCGTTGCTGGGGTTAGGTCAACGTCCGGGCAGAACAACTGCGCGAGCAAATCGAGAAGAATGTGAAGTCCGAGCGGAGAGGCCTCAAGGCTAGGGAAGCCGCGATGCATCTTGACGGCTCATCGACACTGCCGCGGGGAACGACCGTACTCGACCGTGACCATCCTAGGTCAACGGCTAGCGGAATTTCTGATACTATGTGGAATATTATTGCCGCATTATATTGCAGGCTGTCCTACCTGTAGATCGTTCGCAAGCACCACCACCCCCCCCTTTCTCGACGCCACTTGAAGACGAAGAGTCAAATTTGCAAAGTTGATACTCGTAGGCGCATATTTCTCTGTGTCATGAAGAAACGAGGCGAGAACGTTCCTTTCCGAGAACCCATCACGTAGTGCATACATCCATGCAGACATACAGAGACTATCCGTTCACCGTTTGTCAAGAACGGCAACTCTCATTGATCAAGAGTAGTGTGTCCATCTCATCCGGTGATCGTTGCGTCCCCTCTGCTCTCAATGGCCTGCATTCCCTTATGACAACGCCGCGCAGTATGCACGGGGTTGGCGTAACTGCCCTTGTCGCTACCGGCAAAGTGTATGGAGCGGCGAGGCGGGCCCAGACTCAATCCCGCCTGTTCGGCGAAGAGGAACTAGAGGTATGAAATCGAGGTACCACGTCACTTTGTGGACATGTCCGGTGAAGCAGAAAGATTAACAGATACCAAGGGTAGAAAGGGGAGTGTGGTGCCCAGCTTGGAATCGTTGACCACACAACCCTGTAAATGGCGTTCCAGCATGAAACACAAGACTGCCTTTTCCTTTTTGTGCCTACACAACGTTTTGGGGGCTCTGGTATCTGCCAAAGAGATGCCTCCGGTAGAGCAAGTTTTTTCGCGATACATCGTTGACGTTTGCGAGACGTCACAAGAACCAGTACTGGTGGTAGGAATCAGTACCGCTTGCGGCACAGGAGCACATTTGTGTATCACGCACAACTACCTTCTTCTCGATTGTCCGTCGTTGACAACGACTGTTCGCCGGGGGAAACATTCAGAGGGAGGGCATGGAAGAAGCTTTGGAGCAGCTTGCGATGGTCGTGGGTGCGGAACATGTCGATGATATCGCAGAGAAATTCAAGGTAACCGTGTCGCGTGCCAGACTGAGTGGATTGCACGCCAGATGTGTCCAAAGTAGGAGGAGGCGGGTTCTACGCTATTCTAGACATCAACGCGGCTTGTGAAGGTTGCGAAGTGCAAATATATGCTCAATGGCACATTGACAGTTGCAGCTGTATTCTACATAGGTAGAGAGGTTCCCAGTAGGGCGCGGAAAAAACGAACGCGTCAGCATCGGAGAAGGGTCCTGTGTTTGGGATGCGATATATATATGCTGTTGCGATTGACAGGTACGGACTCCTCCTGGGGCGTCACTGCAACTGCACTACAATTTCCGACAGCTTATCTTCCGACACGGTTAGTTGTTTGCGAAAATGCACAATCAAAATGCAATGCTTCAGACTCCAGAGTATACAAGTGGCCACATCTGTCCCTGTCTTTGCTTCTCCTCTGACCCAATCAAGGACATCGAGGCTAGAGCGCAAGATCTCCAAGCCCAGGGGCAGTCCTGCACGGTGACAGTCGAAAAGCTGCGCAAGAAACTCGAGCGCCGTCAAAAGACCCTTTCGGATTTACAGGCGAGAAGGATTTCTGCTCTCCGTACCGTTCCGTATGACCCCTGTCTCGTGACTGGAGCACGTCTCCCCATGTCTAGGATTTGAAGCGGGTCGACTCATATCTAGACTACTGTTGCACCTCCACCTAACTAACCCGACAATACCCAAATAGGTGGTAGACCGTGACGCTTCGGCCGGAGGCTCATCCACGCCTTGCGCTTCTTCCGGGAACAGCAATCTCCATCGTGAACAGCGTCGTCTGGATGACTTGGTATTCCAGTCGGGGATTCGTCTCGCGCAGAGTACCAGAAAGGCCTTGAAGGTAACCCTGCCTCTAATGGGCAGCTAGACATGAACACAGTTTGGGGGCGAGGATGGTAGAGGATACGCCCACGACCACATGAAACATGTTTGAAGGATCTCATTTTGTTTGAAACGGGTTGGTTGTTGGCAATTTTCCGGTGAGGGTCTGTATGGTAGAGACGGCAGCATCAAAGGCTCATTGAGAGGCACAGACCTATCGAAAACTCTTTTTGGTCCAACATATTCCCGATTGTTTTCACAGTTTTATCGCCCACTTTTCATGCAGCGTCAGCACAACGGCAGCACTACCTACCCCTGCCGTCCCTCGAACTCCTACAACGCATGTTTGGCATCGACAGGCGAAGGGAGACTTCACCGACCTGAGGGTAGGTGTTCTTCACCTAGCAAGCCTGATCGATTCAGTGGTCCGACAAGCCGACGATCACGGTGGTGCTCTCATCCTGGCAAAGAGCCGGGTCCAGCAACTGCTGGCGAAGGAGCTATCGAACGCAGCGGCAGCGACGGACGTGCCATCAGCAGTGGGGGGGGTGGCGGCACCAACACCTTCAACAGCGGCAGAAAGCAGTGGCCCAGGCGGTGCAGCGGGGGCGGGGGCAGGAGTGGCGGCGCCAGCGCTAGCAGAAGGTGGTTATGTCTGGCGTTCGTCAGCGGTGGTCCTAGATGCGTCTTTCTTGTTTCTAGTTTGTTTTCAGAGGATCAAGCCATTGAAATCAGCCTTCTGTAGGACGCACTGTTGGAATACTTGGTCGAGTACGGGGTGATGGCTCCTCTACGGCTAGGAATCAAGAAGACCAACAACTTTCATGGAAACTCTTGGGCGAAAACGAATTTCGGGGAGGGTCCACACCGGTGCACGACGCCTCGTACCATAGCACAATGTGCAAAGCTCATACTTCCGAGGATAGTTTCCACGCGAGGTTGGCAGTTTCCTCGAGCCCACCCCGTCAGTAGCCCGTTCCTTGCTTGCCCGGCTTCCTTCCTTCCTTCCTTCGCACGAAAACACGTACTTGCAGGTGGTGTCTCTTCGAGGGTGGTGCCGTTACGTGACATGGAGGATCCTTTGGAAGGCGAGCACGACGTTGATCACCCGGATGGTTCGGGACTGGTGGAAACCATACCTGTGGAAAAGGACGAGGTACCTTGATTGTGCCGCACCCTGCGGTGGTCTTGAGTGGTTGTTTGATGTTTTGCTATCCATCTCGGGCAAGCAGCTGCTCCCATGCACGGCATGAAACACGTACTTCCACATACCTCGTACTTTATGTGAGAGAATCGTCGATGCTCACCAGAGAGATATCGTCGGCCCCGCCCCAATTTCGACACCATCACTAATCGTAGCGACCACCATCCTCTCACCCATGCAGTCTATGCTGTGACGGGGAAAAGGTTTTTATTTTTTGTTAATTATTTGTAGGAAATACAACCCGCCGGTTGATATGCCACACGAAACTCTCCTTGTCCATGTCCCCAGGGATGGCAAACACTTCTATTTTTCTCGGGCAAGTAAATGCGTACCCTTTGAAACATCCGTGCACGAGGTGTTTCGATGTGCCGTATTGAAAAATGTCCTCGCGCATTGAACTACCGGGCGCACCATGCAGAACATTACGCATGGAGTGGAGTCAAAAATGACAATAATTGAATACAGCAGCAACCCGTCATGTACATGCTTCGCTAGGGAGCTAGACGCTGCTGATGGTCTCGAAACCCGACAACGGACCCCCCCTTGCCGAAATCGCCCCTCTTTTCGCCCGCCCGTCGAACGGACCCCAAGGACGTTTGCAAGCTATTGGAAGCATGCGAAAGACGTGTCTGCCGTGTGATGGAAGCCAGTGGTCTCGGAGGAAGCGTAGGAACGAAAGAATCGGTCTCAGATTCTGACAAAAATGTTGACCCGCAGCGACCTTCCTTCTGGCACAGCGGGATCAACACGGCGACGGTTCCGCCGGGGAGCGAGCCGGTTACGGAGGGAGAGGGTGAGTCCAAATGGCGGTCCGGCCGAGGTGGGGGCGAGGGAAGGAGTTGCTAGTCCCGGGACAACTCTTTGTGTGGCGTGTTCAGGAGGTGATGGCGGGGAACATGATGCGGTCGGGTCGCAAATTTACGACATCGGTCAATTCACGACATCGGCGTCGAAATTCGTATGTTTGAATGAAAGACGATACTTGCTGGTATTGCTCGTCATGTTAATTCTCGCAAACCCTCCCCGTGTCCACCCGTCTCGAATGCGTCGATCGGCAGCAACCCCCTCGGTTCTCGATCGACTCTTCATGGGGCAGACCAAGGGCCTCAAGGGCGACGGCGCGGGGATGGACATTCGCGTCTTCCCGCCCAAAGCGCGCGATACCCGATTCGAGCGGAGCATGGGTGACGCTCTCAGACAACAGAACGAAAAGCTGGAAATGCAAGAGGTACCTACAACACCGAATTACCGACGACTTGTTCGCATTTTCCTGATTTGATTGACACAAGCTCCATGCAGCCCACAACAGCACCCTAGTGAAGGTCACATCTGATGCTCGATTTGTGCTGCACACCGTCGTATTGAAAGAGGAGGCACGGTAAAGACATGTCCTCCTCACCTGATGAGCTGTGGTGAACCAAACTGCCAAAGCAAGGTGATTGTGAGGTGATGTTGCCTAAAGGCCGAGCGAGTTGACAACGCCGTGTATAGTTGGCATGGTTGCGCGCACCACTCTCGAGGAGTGCACCCACTTCCGCGCCACTGAACTTCCTGGCCGAAGCCTCCATATTTGCTTAGTTGTGTTCCCCTCGCCATCGCCGCTGCTTGTCACGCTGTAAGTATCGCCGACCATCGACAAACTTTGGTTTCGTGCTTCGCTGTTTGTGGTTCGGTATCAAAACATCGCAGACGGAGGCCAGCAATCTTGACCGTAACGCGGTGGCGACGGGAGTGGCGTCGTTCCTTGAGGATGCGCTCAACAGCAAGTCTGCCAACAAGCACTTGAGGCGGGCCAACATGCTCGTGATGGGCAAACAGGTACAGTGTGAATTCGTTATAGCTTATTGTGCAGTGTTTCAATTGATGCCGTCTGAACGTCTGTAAGGAAAACGCCCAGAACGGTCAAAGGAGAGAACAAGCTAGTACGCTATTTGATGCTCATCGCGCCCGTAATCCTGTCGGGAGTAGTCGCTAGAGGGACTGCCCCCCGCCCTCGGCAATTGATCTGATGTGAGTCTCATCGATCCACCTTGCAAGCATATTGGTCGTCACCACGAGATCCGAACACCGTACATGGTTGGTTCGCTGTAAGGGCGGTCTCACTCAACAGACTTGTCCGTGAACGCTTCAGCACCACTACCGAACGGGCTGCCTTCTGATGAAATACGAGGTTTGGCCCAAACCTGGCCCGGAAAGGGCGTGCGACACAATACCACGGAAACCGCGTCTCCATCATTGCGGTTCCCTGTTGCCCTTTGTCCGCGATGCACATGGTGAACTCAGAGAAATACGTCGTTGTTGATCTTCGAAAATGTTTGCAAAATCAAATTCAAATATCCCATACACACCAAGTGGAAATAGTATTCCTCCCTTTCCTCACACGTAGCGCTTCTTCTGTCACTTTATGTTGCAGGGTAAGCGCGCTGGGTTCGGGCTAGTGATGGATGATGTACTGAGCGGTGCCGATATCGACATCTACGGCCTCGCGGACGCAACGAGGAGACGAGCCAACGGCATGGAGAAGGCTTCGACCGCGGACCAAGCCATTCTCAGTCGCACAGATTTGTCCTCAGCCGTAAGAGGAAGGCCAGACTTGAAGGTAAGTGTGATGCAGCATGGAAACAAAGCCTTGATATTCCAACAGACGTTTCGATGCACCACCTCCTACACAGTCTACCTCGATCCCCCTCTTGACAACAGCTCTGTTTCTTCGAAATCAGCGTTTGGCCGAATAGAGTAACCCCACACGGCAACCTGAAAACCCCCGGTTAGCGCGCGGCCCAAACGCGAAAAGAACATTGGAATCCTTCCGCTACCCCGTGTCATGCGTGAGCATCTTGTCAAACTTGACGAACGACCAGGTCGTCGCTACTACCTTGCTGCGACAAAAATCTGGGGAAACGATTATTTCTAAAAGTCGAGGCGTACGCTCTTTTCCCTGTCGTCGCTTCATCGTTGCGTGCGCGCAGGCGAGCTCGCAGGCAACGTCTGCCCGGCGGAAGCAGGAGGGCCGGAAAAAGGCTTTGATGAAGAAACGGGTCGCCCAGACGGCGCGCGCTTAGGGTAACAGCTGATCAATAGGAATTGTAGATACCGGCTCCCGTTCAATCCAGCGGTCTCACGCTGCGCGCGTCAATGAGTTGGCGAGCAGTTCTGCGAACGATGCCAGATTTCGTCAGGACAACAGCAATGACGCTGGCTTGTGCGGCAAGGGATTCTTCGGAAAGCAGCCCGTACGTGGTGTCGACCATAATGGCAGTTTTCATGTGGGCATGTTGCAGACGCATATTGCCGCAGGCTTGAGGCATGCCTGAGCGAACAAGTCGCAAGCTGCCACCAACTTGAACACGAGTTACTGCGATTCTCTGAAAAGCATTTACTGTAGCGTACGCGCACACTACACCACACCAAGCAGACACCAACGCCCGCGTATCCATCAATATTTGCTTGCAGCCGTTCCAAGCTGGACACACTCATTTGCCTCCAAAGGCTGTATCAGCGTTCATCTGCAACACAACGCCACGTTTGGTGCGACAATTTCGCAGTGCACCTGCACGCCTGACAGGGATAGCCACGTGACAACCAACCACCCTGAAGGCTCCAGCAAAGAATACCCATGCTGAGCAAGGAAAAAAAAATCTGCAGTGAATCACGGCCTTGCCACAACCTCAGGTATCAACTACACTGCAGCCACCCACTACCGCCGACGATCCATACCGCCCATCGAGTTCATCCCTTCTCTACCGCGCCCGCCACTCTGCGGGCCCCCTCTGCCTCGCCCGGCCCCCTCCCTACCCCCCCGCCCGCCCCCCCTCCCTCCCCCCCGTCCGCCGGCGGCGCGCCCGCCCAGTCCCCTCCAATCCATGACATTGCCCGAAGACAGAGGGACTGGTGGTGCCAACGCCGGGGCACGACCTGAAGGTTGCGAAGAAGAAGAAAAGGGGGTGCCACCGGAAGACGGGCCATCGCCGGGCGCGCGTGCGCCTCGCTCCCAAGCCCCGCTCGCGTCGGCGCCGCTGCTGCGGCCCGTCGGTGGCTCCTTGCCGCGACGATGATCGTGTCGTCCGCCGACCCTCTCCTCACCCCGTCCGCCGTTGCCGGCCCGTGGATGTTCGCTGCTTCTGGTTTTTTCGTCCTTGCCGTGGGCTCGGCCTTCCTTCTTCTCCTCTTTCTTCTCATCCTTCTTGTGGCGTTTGCTCTTTTTCTTCTTGTGGTGGCCGTCGCTGCCGTCGCCCCCGGCGGAGGACTCCTTGTCCCTCTTCTTCCGCTCCCGCGCATCCGCTCGAGCTTCTTTTCTTTTCCGCTTTGCCTCCCGCCTTTCTTTCTTCGCCGCCGCCGACTCGCCCAGTGTTCCCCCAGCACCATCGCTGTCATCGCTCGATCCAGAACCCTATGTGCGTGTGTTTCAAATTGTTGCGTTCGCCAAATCAAACGGAAGCAGCAGCGTTGGGACCATGTTTCATGCGCAATCCGTTCCGGCATCGTAGGTCCCACGGTCAGACGAGGGGTACTAACGAACGAGGACAGCAGCGCGTAGCTCAAGCATGAAAAGAGACGGACTCGGGGAAAAGCTGTGTCAGACGTTACGGGCCCCAACCTCCTCAACCGCGGGTCTGAGGCCAAAACATGGCATGGGTCAAAATTCGGCTCAAATACATGACTTCCTGAAACGTATACACCTTTGATACCACGCACCTAGCGGCCTATCCGAGCGCGCCAACGGACGCGCTGCTCTTCGGGTATTTTTTTTGTTTTCACTTCAAATCAACGCTCACAGCACTTGTGCGGTTTTCTTCCACCCGTGGTCACACAGATCAGTTCCTCTCCCTGAGGCCTCCTACCCACCTCTCCTGCGGTGCTTTGACTTTGCTTTATAATGCGAGAAGAGTGCAGCACTGCTTTGTACACTCGAACTACAGTAGCGCTTTCCATCCAGGCCAGGAACGGAAGCGAGAGAAAAACTCACTTTGCAAGACAGCGCGCTTACGCCGGGATTCGAAACCCCTGACTGTGGCCAAGAGAAGGTTTTCGAGGATACCAACTAGACTACCTGGGCGATCGGTAGTAGGTGGTAGAAAATCGTACGGAATATCGCTTTTCAAAGGCCATCCCCTGAACATCTGCAAATGACCTCTCTCATAGTCACACCTGCTCTGGTTTGGCGAACACGTCAACACCCTTGTGGAAGTTGTGAGATGTGGCTAGCTGTTTCCCTTCATAGGCGACACCAGGCCTCCACTGCGGCCCCTTCTCCGACGGCGCCTCACCCCGGGCGACCCTCTCCTCGTCCTCTTTCTCCGCTTTCTCCCTCACCTGATTGAACCGACACGGTCGCATGCAACAACGATGCACAACATACGCGTTGAATGCACAACCGAGAAAACGCACACTCTGGTCTACAGCGTGGACACCAAAAGCATGAACCAACACAAGTAGTGTTTCAGTTTGCGCAGTTCTTAGAGGTAGAGGCGAGAAAGGTTGTGCAACGTGCTCTCTCTCTCTCTCTCTCTCTCCACGCACCTCGGCGGGCAGGGAGTACTTGTGCTTGTGGTCGACTCGAATCGTGCGACCCAACAGGTCGATGCCGTTGAAGTTGTCCACGGCGAGGATGGTGCTCTTCTGGTTCTCGTACTTGATGAAGCAGAACCCCTGCAACCCAAAATGCGGTGTGTATTTAGGGAAAATAAATACAAACCCAGAAAGATTTGTATCCGTTCTAGATATAACCACAGTCGAACGGGATGTGTTGGAGTCTTTGCAGTGAGTGGAGGGAAACCGGCTGGGTACTGGACTTATTTCGAGGCTATTTGAGCCTATACACTGAATTTTTTGTCAGTGATGCCTACAGTTGTTGTTGTTGTTGTCTTCACAATAAAAAACACTGCTGTTACCAACATCAAAGACATGTCCCCCGTGTAAACGAGAAGAAAAAAAAATGCGGGGCAACCTCCACCCGCCACACCTACAAACGCAAGCGGTAGTCCCTCCGTCTTGAGTGTGTCGTCGCCCAGAATATGAATGCAATGAGACATCCAAGGCGTCACAGGAGTTACGCCAACACCGGTGGTACAGAAGAAGCCGTTAGCAACGACTTTTATTCGGAGAAGGCGACATCTACAAAGTAGCGTTGCACTATCGGAGGACAATACAGTAGTTAGAGGGAGACACACCAGCCGTGCTCCACACCAAGCCTGAACGCGCACAGCGCGAAACTGGCATGCTCTGCCCTTCTGGTCCTGCTCATCTTCATACCTTGGACTTCCCTGTATCCTTCTCTCGGCACAGGTTAATGTCCTCGATCTCCCCCCATTGTGACATAACGCAAAGAATGTCTCCCTCGGTGAGGTCGTACGGAAAGCCTCCAGCGAAGACCCACGCACTGTCCTTGTACTCGTGGTGCCATGAGGCCTTGCCGGACACCCCTTGCTCGAGCTCCCGCTCGTTGATGCGCTTTATCTCCTGGATCACGTTCATGGCTCTGTTGCGGGTTACAAGGTGTGCTCAAACCGCAGCAGGAGAGGGGTAGGAGGGGACAGCAGGAGAGCCCATCCCCGTCCTGGCGCGAACCAAAGTGCTGACCAATCAGCGATCGCAGCCTGAACAGTCCCGCCTGCAGCCGCGTCCGTTCCCAATCCCAAGTCCCCGTGGTTACAGCAGTCACAGCAGTGTTCGCGGCTCTATCATTCTGTTGTCGGTCGCTCCTCCCTGTCGCCAATGGCTACCCCTTCTCGACGAGATGTAGAAGAGGAGCAGCAGCAAACCTGGTCAGGGTCTAAGGTTCGAGGGGGAGGGGTCTTGGGGAGGCAACCGAGTCCGAGCCCGGCCAAGGCTAGGCAAGCACAGCGTCGGTACCGCTCCTTGTACCACCAAGCCGCCAAAGAGGTGGAGTACAACATACAATAGCAGCGGGTAGCCTGTAGCTTGATACGAGACGACTCTGTAATGCAGCTGCCCTTATCTCTCTTTGCTAAGCCGCCATCAAGCCTTGTGGGTTTGAGCTGTGCTTGCTTGCTTTTGTTCACATCTTATTGTAGGGATGTATGTATAAACCCAGCAGATCCGCTCATCAACGGCCGAGGGCGTTACGGGTGTGACGATAGATGAGATGCAGGTCCGGAAATCTGCTTGGCGTATGAAATGATAAAATGTTTTGACCCGCGACGGCTTGGATCCTAAGCTCGCCCTCCCATGAGGTTTGACCTAAACGTTCAAGGGAGCGCATCCCTGGGCCGAGCAGGCGGTTCCTGGCCAAATATAATGTTGCTTGAAGCAAGCACCAGCTTTCAAGTAATAAACGTGTCACGAGTGCAAGATGCTTGTGCATGCCAATGGGTCATGGGTTCGTGCTTGTTTCGCGTTTCGGTCGGGTTGCGCGGGATCACATCGTCAGCAGCTGGTGAGCCCCCGAAGGAGGATCCGCATTTCAACGAATCGCGACGGACCAAGACGAAAACACCCAGGGTACCGCCGTAGTACCGCTTGGCCGACGCACAGGACGCGTCTGATACGAAGGCTTGGTCTTGCTGACGGTGTTTCTTGTTTGGACTACACCTATTAGGGAGCGAATCTACTTGTTTCGTGGCGGTAGGCCGTTCGCCACGGCTTGCAAGGCTGGCTATTAGTAACTTTGGCCGCCTTGACACAACATTTCCCCCAACATTTTATTGTGTAACGTGCGTGGGTGATCGCGTGTGCAGTACTGGGCATGGCGAGAAGGAGAGAACGACTCGCAGCGAGCTCTTGGGTCAGTGTTTCACCTCCTTGATCGCCTCCAGCTGTTCGAGCCAGACCAACAAACGGTAATTGTTTTGACCTTCACTCTGTTCGCTTCAGACGAATGAACTTGAGAAGATGGTTCCGTGGGGTATGCGGAGGAGGACGGAGAAAAGTGAACGCTTCTTTCGAGGTGGTAAATCTCCTACTCGATGTTTTCGAGGGGACGACGCATCACACAACCATGAGGGTCGATGGCCAATCAAGCCCACAAGGTTACCAACGACCGAGGACCTCCTCCCTCCCGGCACCGAGTGCGGCGATTCATTCACACAGACCCCCCTGGAGCGTTTGAGGGTTTACGGTATCGTGACGCCCGCTACTGTAATTTGTTGCCGCAGGGTGGGGATGTCAATCTCGGTGGCTTGGAGAAATTACCGGGTTGTCGGGAGCTCCTGATTCTCAAGCACACCACCGAGCTGGAGCGAGTGATGCGCCTCTGGCGCGCCCTTGTGCGGCAGATGAGAGGACAGGTGCCACAGCAGTGTCCACCCTCTTGAGATCAGGAGGAATATCTGCACGCAGCAAGTGGGATGGGCGGGATACATGTTTGAGCGCCGGGCGATCGCTAGCTTTTCGAGGACTCCTGTCGCCAGCTCATGGCAATATCTAGCGTACGCATCTGCGGACTGCGAACCTTTTTGCTACATGGCACATGATTTTTTTTAGATGGAAACGCTGGAACTTGTGGTTTGTATATGCAAGGCACACGTTCCTCATGTGTCATTGACGATCACCATGCCCGTCGCACGATTGATTTATTCGTGGGTGGTACGCACTCGCACCAACGTGTCTTGATCGACGGGCGGCAGGTATCTCGTGTTGAAGAGCTTCTCGCCGAAGGCTGGCAGCTACATCGCTCAGACCCGGCTCGAGCGCTTCTACAACCCCGCCACCCTGCGCCACCCTCGCCGTCCCCACCGCTACCGACCGCCCTATCGCGATCCCCCGGGAACGCATTCACCATCCCCCCTTCCCCGCAGCACGCCGGCGCTGCTGTCGGGGTGCGGTCGACTTCTGCAAGCCACACCACCGCTCCGGAAGGGCGTCTGCAGCGCGTTCATCACGTCGGTGCAAAGGAGGGCGACATTGATGGCAGCACGGGCAATCCTCGACATTCCTCTCTAGAAGGTGCAGAAGTCGCTGCGTCGCCTCAGGGGCGGCTAGGTGATATCGGAAACGGGCTGCAGGCAGGTTTGCCAGCGACGGGTGGGATGAAGGAGGGTGATCGAGCGGGAGCGGTGGTCTCAGAGATTCCCGGGGAAACCGCGAGAGCGATGGCGGCTGGAGGGGATAGGGCGGGGGGGGTGACGACCATGACCGTGGGGCCTGCAGAACACCTGCAATGGCTAGGAGATTTGTCCAGCATGTTGGTGCATGAACAGTGGCGAAAGGAGGTACAGAGCGTGCCGGCACCCTAAGTAGCGACCTCCCGTTGATCCCCCGACGGACAGTTGTCTTGAAGCCTCCGAGTTTACTACTATTAAGATTCCTGGGTACTGCTTGACCGTGAAATTTATCGATCCCCGCGGCATGTCCCCCCCCCTTCGATGTTTGCCATCGGGGTTGGGTTTTCGTCGGCTTGGCAGCGATGTTGTAAAACAAGCCGATTCACTTCGTGAGCTCGGCAACCAGGTTACCGCTTTGTTTTTTTTGCCTTTGTTTTTTTTTTTGCGGTAACCATGAATGGTGGTCTAGTAGATTATGTTGTGCGGGGTCGAGAACCCTCACTCCGCGCAAAGGGGATAATCGCACGTTGTGTTTAATTGGTCAAACACCCTCGAGGCAGTTACACAGAACTTACAACTGTCTCTGGAAGTGAAAGCACCAGAAAATAAATTAAGTCATACGCAGCTGTCATCCGTACGCAAGGAAGTTAGCACAAGATGCCGAACACCCTTAGCAGGATGCAGCGCACCCTTCATGCGACTCGCCGAATACCTCACGGCGCTTCGCGCTTGGTGATGTGAGAGCCTGGTCCGGTGAGAACCCGGCATGCTCCGTCCGGGCTTTGTACGGATGCGAGGTCAATGGTCTAACGACTACGGCATGTTACTGTATACGCCTCGCATGTTGCGGTAGCGACTCGGGATACCTTGGCTCGAGCCACAAGCTGTTCTTCGTCCACCTGGTACTCATATTCCGTCATACAATGCGCTCTTCCCAATCGCCCTCTCCTGAAACGTAGCAGACCCGCCTATTAAACTCTCCTCTGGTTATGTCGGCTAACGTGCAGGAACTTTTATCTCGAGTTGCGTTTGGGCCAGAGGCAGCATCAGCGCGGCTCAGGGCCCACGTTCAAGCGCACTGGTCGTCGCGATCGGCGCACAGTTTTCTTGACCAGCCGTCGATCGACGCGGCCACCACCGCAGCGCAGGTCGTGCCACCTCTCAAGAGCCGGTAGCACTATGCAAGACGGTGCGTGTTCGCAAGATTGGCCCACGATAGGTGGTTGAGCGTGCACAGGCACATGGAACGCGGTACCGCTGTGACTGACATGGTTGTCCTCGATCAACTACGCCGCAGGACATGGGGGAATGGAAAATCCATTGGTACTCGCAGGATAGATATGTTTCCACGCGAAGCGGTGCTTCTATAATAGCGCTGCCTGCCTAAGAATCGTATTTCGTCGTGATTGAATCGTTCACCGCCCTTCTTCTGTGTGGGTAGGACATGATGTGAAAGTTGGAGCTTTATCGCCTTGTCATGTACCTCCAATGATACGTGTTGTAAAACCGTAGACCAAGTACATTTTTTTAGGCGGCCGAAACAGCTGGAACAGGGGTAACGACATGAGCCCTGCAAAAGTGAGGCCTGACGCAGCGCCCAACTTTTACATCTCCCTCTGTTTCGTACAGAGGCAAACGCGAACCGGAATGATTGCAAGACATAAATGCAAGCTGATATATGAGGGTGCTGAGCAAACACGCCGTGAAGTCACTGCTGTTATACCGCCACTCCTTTCGGACGTGTTGGTCGGCTGTTGCAGAATCCCGTTTGTATATCGGCTACAGTCATCAAAATAACTTTACATTTTAAGCCCCGAAGCGCCGAAAAAGAAGACAGACAAATACCTTATCGACATAAGGGATACGTCCGCTCGAGGGCAGCCGCCATCCTGACCTAAAAAAACAGTCAGCGCAATGATACTCACTATGTACGTCGACGGAAGCCTTGCTCTCAAACAGGACACCCCAGAACCAACCACAAAGCTCCTGTGCCAGCCATTTTCTGTTCATGCAGCACGCAAACAAGATGCTGGCAGGCGCTGGTTGACGGCAACTTCCCTTCGCCAACCTTCGGGAAACATCTTTCAGCACCTACACACACACGCACCGCATCTCAATACCAACACTCCTCCTGGTCCACGAAATCCCGAGGCGACCTTTCCCGGCCTGGTAGGTTACAAACGACTGTTCGACGCAAAGCAGATCTGTTTCTAGACGCTCCGTTCGGCATGCGCCTTGGTTGCTTCCGACCATCACAAGGGGGACCACGATACAACAAGTACACTCGAATCAACCCCCCGCCACACAACGGAGCGTTAGAATCCAGTTTCGAAAAACCGAGCAATCAGGAGACACGAAACTCATCGCGTGAGGGGCCCCGCAAGCATCGGCATACATACACTTTCTTCTCACGTCACCACACACTGTGAGAGAGGCGTGGTCTTGGTAAGGGCGCTATCTGTTGCCCGGTCTTGCCGCCTTCTCCATGAGCTTGGGGATGTCGCCGGAGAAGACCTTGTCCATCTCGTGCACCAAGCTCTTGTCTAGGCTCTTGAACTTGGAGATATCCTTGATCTCCCTCAAAGACCGACGGAACTTTTCCACCTGATTTTTCATTTCGGGACATCCCGTTAGGAGCCAACGTGATATCAAGTTGAGGCTGATGAACGACACGTGCAAAACCCGGTGAGAGACAGTCACGGGAACATATCGCTAACCTCTCCTCTATCAAAAGCTAGCCGGCAAATACTATGCCAGAACGCACAGGCGTTGCTACAAAATGCATGCAGCTCACAATCAAGAAAATTACAGCATGCTTCGGCCTGACCCAGCAACGGTGGCAAAGTGCGATGTGCACACGCTCAACAGGGATCGACTTTCGGATCTCCGCAATAAACCTTTGATGCTTCGCAGACCTTTTGGAAGGAAGGCTAACGGCGGTGCCGACCAGCGTCTGTTCCGACAAAAGGCTACCGAACGAACTAGGACAACCCAAAAGTATCCGACCACACAGACGGCCACTGTAAGCGCCAGCCGTTGTTGCCATGCTCGCTCACAAAGTGGGAGTCGTCCTTCATTTGCTTGATGAAGCATGAAGCAGACCATACATCGGCAAGGAATATTCCGAGTACAGCAGTATTGGTGGCGCATTCGTGGCCACAAGTCTCACTTTCGGGAAGTCGCCCAACGGTAGCCCATAGCGCCTTGCACAGGCGAGGAACTCCTGATCCAACCGCCTGATCAGCTTCTCCTGTGGAACGTACCAAAAACGACCGCACGGCAGGTGGGCAGCGTCTCGTCCCGTAAACTTGGTGTCAAAACGCTTTTGACGGTTTCAGCTCAGCAACAGTAGTATTCTTGGAACGGACGAAACGAACGGAAGGCGGGTGTACCGTAAAATCGCCGTGCTCTTACCACGCACCTCTCGACAGGACCGTCAAGACGGCAAGCAGTCCGAAAGGCACGCCACGACGTACAACCCAACGTGGCAACGTTCTATATAAAGCTAATTGAATTCAATCACGGGGGGGGGGGGGCTGAGGCACCCCACAGCATTCCCCCAAAATCGCCAACCATCCGACCAGCCCGTCCGGAAACACAAGGCACACAACACAAATCCTCCGCCAACCTGTTTCTCCTGCTTGCCCATCATGTACGGCATCTGTTTCCGGAGGTAGTGGATGATGTACGCGTGAACCTTAACGCTGCGCGCCCGCTTCACGAGCTCGTTGATTCGCCGCACGACCGCGTTCTCCGGGAGCAGCATGAGCTCCTCCAGCAGGTCATTTTTCTCTTTCTGCTCGACGGGATGCAGAGTCGCGAGCACAGGTCATGCGGGGAGAGTGCAGTAGCCCCGGGGGAGGGGTGCACTGACGAGATTGGCGGCGACTAAATACTACAGCCTCATCAGAGACAGCTCTCCAAATATAATTATGGTCAATCGTTCCAGTCATGTATTCTACCAGTGTGTGGACCACCACAACATCAAAAGCTTATCGCGTGTCCCCGTTTCCCCTCGTTATACAGCCAAAAAACACAAAATCACACGAACCGACCAATCCTACTGATTGTCACATATTCCATCACAACAGCGAGAAACTCATCGCATGTCCCCGTTCCCCTCCAATACGCGATACAGCCAAAAAACACCGAACCACGCGAACAGACCAATCCTGCTGATTGTCACATATTCGGACCGCACTATTAGGGTCTGCTCCATGGCCCAATCAACGAAACCGCGCATGCATACCTCGAGCAGAAATCTGTTGTCAAAATTGCTGAGCGGGGCCTCCCAGAAGGATCCGATGTACACCCGGCACACCTCGGGGGTTTGCATGACCTTCCCCAGTGACCACATCAGGGCGCCGTACACGCGCATGAGTTGCTGCGTGTCTATGGTGTCGGCCTTGTTCAGGAGCACTCTGCGGTCCCGGCGATAGATACAACAGGCGAGGTGCGATCAGAGGACAGGCACGTTTGGGGGGTGGGGGAAAAGCGACAGGCATCTCCACGCCGATCGCAATGCAACAATCGGCGAGACGAACAAAGCCGCGCGATTTCATTCTTCCAGAGAAGGAATTCAACATACCCGAAACCGTTTCGAGCGTCAGCGGCGATGTTACTGCTCCTTCTCGATTGGCTACGACACAATGGTGACGTCATCGTTACAGCGACGCCCAAGCGCTGGAGGCATTATTTTTTAATAATTTTCAACACGCCAGCAACACCAGCCCACACAGACCGTGTGTCTCCCTACAGCGGCCCTTGTACCTACCTCATCTTGTCGTGATGGGGCTTGAGCGTGTCGATCACCATCTTGAGCTCGTCGGATATGTCCAGCTTGTGCGCATCGAACATGATTACAATCAAATCCGCCCTGGGAGGAGCATGGCGGGAAAACACAACAAGTGGAAAACACAAAACAACAGAAATGGACGACAACGGAGGAGGCGATGACAGGTCAACGTCACGCCGGTTTTGGGAATGCGGTGATTCTCGCGGTCTACATCCAAGAGTTACATATGTCCAGAGAAACACTCAAGCGAGAACTGCATGGGTGGGGGGCCTGTCGCGAGCAGATGGAGAGCAAAAGAAGTCGGTCCGTTTGAAAACACAATGGTTCGATGCCACAACGAAGACATGGCATCGTCAAGAGCGGCGCTGGAGTAATTAATGAATTTGTCGTCGGGCTCGGGCCATTGCCGTAACACGCGTTGGCAACACGGCGGCGACACAAACCATTTTCGTGCGGTGCCCCGAGACCCCCATCAACCTTGAGCAATTTTCCAACAACTAATACGTAAATAGCACGGGTGTCTGTTTCACCTTTCCGCGAACCACGAGATCACAGAGGCAAAGTCGTAGTCCCGCCCTATGCGTTGCTTTTCTCCGGAGAGGACACCTAGCCGACAAGTTGCGGCCGGGGGGGGGGCACACGCAGATCGAACAAAAAACAGGACATGGGGACAACGGAATGGGCGTGGAGGCGATAAATACCGGCGGCATAGCGGGAAGGGGGGGTGGGGGGGGCAAGTACTTCCCAGCGCTCCATCCGCAACAAACGAGAAATCTACTCGATCCACAGCTCCTCAGCCCTCTTGCCATTGACCAACTCGTTCAAGAGAGATCCCCAACCCCAAGTGAATCAACATTGCTGCACACCCCACTCTGCCGTGTTGGTAGCGCTTGCCACGGTCCCGGGACGGAAAAGTTGCTGGAAAATTGGGGCAAAGACAGAGGTCGCTCGTTGCCTGAGCTACTCCGACCACGCGCCCGCTCTTCTCTCCCCCCGTCTCACCGGGGGTGTCGACGAGGGTGATGTTCCGCAGTATAGGAGCATCTACCACGGAGCCCTCGAACTTAGTCAGGAAGTTGTTACCGAACTGTCGTCGTCGACAACCAGCCCACACCGAGAAGGAAGGAAAGAAGGGCGGGTCATCATGTCATGTGCGGCCGGCGGTATGGGCGTGAGAAAGAGGGTGCAAGGATAGTAGGAAGTGATCAACTGCTATCATGGGACGCGGCAAAGCGGTATGTGGAACGAGTGACCGCACCATCATCAGGACGTCCGGTTCCGAAGACCACGCACATGACGAGATGCCAAAGATTTCCACCTATGGGGGGCCGATGGTCGGACATAGACCCTCGACTACACAAACACACGAAGTATCGTCACTACATATAGGCCCAAGAGTTAGGCCGACCTCTCCGCAAAAACGGTCCGGCGGCAATCCAACCAAAAAAGTGCGGGTCGTCTTTCCAGACGCATCATCTACAGCAGGACCAAGCGACAAGCCAGCAACATCAACTACCCTAACCTTGGGGGTCACATCACGTCATAAATCACCTGCTGCAAACTTCGGAAGGGCTTGTCCGCCTGCATCGCGAGCGCGTGGCCTGGCATTACCCGCTCGTCCTCACCATGGGTCACGGCTACGAACCTGAGCGTTTTTTCGTGTTTTACCGTGTTCGCGGAAGGCCGCGAGCATCACATCATGCGGGAACCGAAGTCAGACACAACGTCACAAAAATACGGGCGGTAGGATACAAGCCATGATGCGTCATGTGGCCACCGTCCGTAGCACTGTCGTCGGACAAGGGCACAAAATTACGGCCGGCACAAAGCACGACTATCATGTAGGACTGTCGTCGGATACACGAGGACGCCAACGAAACGGGCGGGATGAACAGAATATTCGTGGTGGACAGACATGTAGGGGACACGAAAAGCGGAAGGGGAGTACTAGAGAACCATGACAAAGAACACACGAGGCCCGACGAGCGAACCACTTGGGCGACACGCCCGCATGACGTCAAACCGTGGATTGGATTACGTCAAACCGTGATCGGCGAAGGACACAGAATCGCCCTCGTGGTCGAGAGCTTGTCTCCGAAAAAAAAAATGTAACACGCAACGCTGCAACGGACACAGACCTTTTATTGCCCCCTTCGTAACGCTGTCTTCGCCACTGGAACACCACCCTCAAAACAAAAACTTCACCGGAAGAAAAATCTTGGACCAATCATAGACCGAACCAAGTCACAGGTGTACTGAAAAAACACAAGCAGAGGTCGGAAAAGAAAGCATGGCGCGACATCACACATGCTGTCACCCAAAAACCACACCCACCTGTCTGTGGTCGGCTCCGGGCCAACCCTCTGCCCCGGGAAGTCTCTCTTGAGGAGGGAGCGGATGAAGCTCGTCTTCCCGACACTGTACTGCCCCACGATGAGCACCATGGGCTTCGCTTCGAAGTCTGCGGGGTTCATGGGCGGCGAGTGGAAGTGCGCGTATCGGCTGGACTCTTCCAGCGGGAGAATCTGGCGTTGCGGGAGCGGAGGCGAGGGCGGTCAGAAAACAAACGAAGCATGGAATGGGTGGTGGAAAAGAGGGAGTAAGCGGGATGAGAGAAACATGGAATGTGTGGTATTTGAGAATCAGTAAGAGGCGAAAGGGGGCGACGCTAACGAGACGGGGGGGGGGGGGTTAACCATAGTCTAGTTTGAGACGTGAGAGAGTGATCGTCGTGGGCTGCCCGTGGGCGATCCATAGTGACCCTCTTGAACTTAGCGACAGGGGGTCTGTGTAGCTCGGGTGGTCTTGTCGCGTGGTATGGTGTAGCGCGAACCGGCACATCCCCTATCAGAGATCGAGAAGCTCATCTTTCCGTTAGGGAACAGCGGTAATCAGAAAACTGCAATGACCCGAAGTGTTCTACGAAAGGGGCTTTCCGTTTGGATTGTGCCCACAGAAGTTTTCGCTAGCTCATGGCCCGCATCCGCATTCCCACGCAATCACCAACCAAGAGCAACAGCACAACAATGGCACCCTTGTGTTCGCATCTAGCCTGCTAGACAGGACGGTTACGTCTGGAAATGCGATGCAGACGAAGAGGGCTGCTACTTCTTACCTTTTTTCTGTAGAGCTTCTTGAGCCCGTCGAAGATGACCTCCTTGTCAGTGTTCGAAAGCAGCGCCCGAGCTATTTTATCTTGTTCCTGGTCTCCCCCGAGCTCCCCGCCACCGCCACCGCCACCGCCAGCAGCACTGCGATACTGGCTGAGCTTCACCTGCCAACAGGATAAACGCGACAAACAGAGCACAAACATCACACCACGTGTTCTTGTATCCGAACTTGCGACATCTAATCAAAGTCGGGGGGTGGGGGGGGGGGGGGGGGGGGG